AGGGAAGTGAGAAATTGAGGCAATTACTGAGAAAAAATTTATATCGTACTAAAACAATTAAAAAATGGTATAGGAAACGTGTATTTTTTTTTAACCACTATTTTTTTTTTGTTTTATATATTATAATCTACCGTCCAATTTATGGAACTTTAGAGGTTCAATGCAGTTGAGAACCGATACTGCATACTGCCTTGTCACGTCCATCAAACATTTTACTTCGCCCACCCTAGGAAAACTCAACTTTTGTCTTGCATCGACACAATCAAACAGACTCGTGTATTTCTACATGGTTTACTCTCACCCTACAAGTTGCACAAACTTAACGACCATCCGGAACAATGTAGAGTTTCCTCGTCAAATTTACCTAAATTATAATGCATAAGTACTTAACTGAAGTATCCCTAGATAATTATTGTGGATTATAAAATAATTTGTGGTATATATTTTTATTTCATGTATGCAGTATGATGTATTTTAACTGTATTCCTATTGTAATTGATTTATACATATTATTATGTTATGTGTGTAACGTGTATAGGTTTTCTATAGATTTTATTTTAAACACCACAAACGATAGTATTTTTTTATTTGTGGACGAATCGAGACAAAAATTTTAATTGCTTTCTCAGTTAATAAGGTTTGGATCCGCCTACATGAGTGGAGCGTTATTTTTTTACGTTCTATAGCGGAAAATAATTTTATCGTATAGAACATAACTTAACATGTTCTATTATAATATATATCCGCCCAGCGCAGAATTATTTTTCGGCCAATTTCAATTAATCGTGCACGCTTGTCCTGTGTGCTATCATAAAGCTGCGGTTTGTTATGTAATCTCCAAGGTCATTATGTGTTTATATCGTCGGGCTTAAGTCTCAACCTTGAAATCAGAAGACGTACTAACCCTGTTAATTCTACTAATCTATAAGTAAAAAAAAATACATCTTTAATTTGCTTCAACTAAAATGTATTGGCTGGTTTTCCAATGACGTAGGTATGAGTTGTTCGTTTTCCACTAAACGATAGACCGAATTATTTGATCAGCCCTGCTCTAACCGTCGGATAACAAGTATCTTGTTGGTTCGGTGGGGAAGCAGACGTTAAAATGTAAAAAAAAAAAAACACCAAAAATTGTTTAGACTTATTAATTTAGTAGTTACTCACAACATTTTTTTCCAGCACATTAGCTTTGGTTAGTGATTATCAAAAATAACAATCTGTGACCAAATAACAATTTCAAAATTATAGTTGGTAATCGCTGATTAATTCAAAATGTTTTTTTTACAAAAATAAAAATTAATATGGCAAAACATGACTAATTTGAAGCTAGCTTGTGACCAGAGCATTATTGGATTGAAAAAAAAAAATACATTTGAGTACCCATTTATTTTAATAAACTGCTATAAAGGGGATTGAATGCGGTCTGTTTTTAAGGAGTTTTGTATAGGCAATATTTAAGAAAAAAAGAGGTTTTTATCAATTTCAACCATATCAATTAATTTACCGGTTAATTTGTACTTTAGTAATTTGGCTACTTTACTATGTTATGTAGGAAGAAGATTAAAAAGTTTCAGTATTTTGTAGTTAAATAAATTAAATTTGCAATTTTTCAATATTAAAACGATTTTTCCAACTGAGTCCCCAACTGGGCCAACTCTGCTTCTGAAGCATATTTCAAGCGATATCGACACTGAATAATTATTAAATAAAATTCAATTACCAAATTTCATATTAATGTAAAAAAAAAAGTGAATGGTTGGAAATAAATTAAGTTACAGTTTTGCTCATTATTTAGACTTACAATAAAATGTTAATGATTCTTTTATAAAACAGTAGTATATTATTTATAGTTGTATTATACAAATTATAACTATAGAATACAGATAACAATTTTTTTAATAACTACTGTACGCAGATTTGCTTCGTTGTTTTAAGTTCATTTTAATTTGTACACGAGCAACCGCTTTGACTGCCTGATTGTGCCGTTAACTTAATTTACAATATTTTTCCTTCTTAACGCTTTACTGGGACCTTTAGAATTTCAAACCAAATCTAACCGTATTCCCTTTCGCTTTCTTCGTGTTCTTGATGTTGAACATCATATTACATCCAGACAGAACAATTGTGTTTAAATTAATACTACAAGGTATTTATATTAACATATTTTATTGTTTGTCTGCAATAATGTTGCAAGATACGATATTTTCATCATTATCACCGGCAATTAAATGTAATAATTGCCGGTGATAATAATAATTATTATATTGTAATAATACTTAATAAGTATTATTAGTATTACCATCATGGAAGCACTTGGAATTTGAATGACTTAATAAAATGATTGTTAAAAAAACATTTGCGTTATTTTTTTTCTATAATAATAATGTATTTATTATAATCATTGGAGTGGAATGGAATATAAATGTTTTATTGTGCAAAGTTCAGCCCGACCCTTTACCTATACCTATAACGACTTACCGTATACTGTTTTGCTGACTTAAATTTTTTTTCATATGAAATAATTTTTTTCCCTAAAAAGTAAGACTTGGACGTATCTTTTCGCAACAATATTATTTTAATTTCGACGACGGGACTTTGATCGATAACGTTATTGAAATAGGTTTAATATAACTCATTTTGATGATTTCCTTTCCCCAAAGAAATTTAATTGGACTTAGGGAAACCAGGAAACATCAATTTGATGATTGTTTTTTTTTTGTGACCGCTATTTAATAGAATAATAATAATAACTAATCACATTGTTATAGTTTTTATAAAAAAAACTTTTTTCCACACTTAAAACTAAAACATGCGTAACTGACGTGTGAGTTAATGTAACTTGAACAAAATTATTTAAATAAAACATTCATAATACCTGTCGCGTACAGTTTTATTTTACCATAGTGGACACTCGTGTCGAATTAAAAAAAAAATCCTACTGAATTATTAAATGAATGAAATTTGTGAGCCCAGTATTATTATAGTCGGTTGTGTAATCATTAGTAACATTTTTAAAAACTGATAATTGTACACACTTGATATAACACATTCATTTTTTAATAATATCTATCACTTTTTCTAGATATGCAGGGCGAGTGTAAATGTATAGTTGGGTCGATAACAATGGTTGTATACTAATTTGTGTTGTTAAGTAATTAATGTAATTATTAGAAGTATTTCAACAAAAAAAAATGCATGTTTCTTTAAGAGATTGCATGCGATCTGTTTTTGGCGTTTTAGTCCAAAAAGCCAGACAACATTTTGATTACTTAGGATGATCGATTTCAATTCTGTTAGGATTTACGAGTTCTTTGGCAACTTTACTAAGTTTTGTGAGAAACGGATTTTTGATTTTTTTTTTATGTAAAAAAATTGGGTTTTAATATTGAAAAAATTGCTAATTTAATTGATTTAATTACAAGAAACTAAAAATCGGCTTTTTACAAAACATAGTAAAGTAGTAAAAGAACTCGAATCTCTTTACACAATTGAAATTGGGCCATCCTAAGTAGTCGACATTTTGTCTAGCTTTTTGGTCTAAAACAAGCTAAAATGACTTTTACTCATAGAAAACATTATATACAATTAAATTAAAACTAATTTTTTTAATGCTTATACAAATTAATCGAAAAATTAATTAACATGGTCGAAATTTATTAAAACCAATTTTTTCTTAAATATTGCCTATACAAAACTCCTTAAAAACAGACCGGATGCAATTCCCTTAAACAATAAAGATTTTAATTACAGAAATAAAATGTTAAATTATCTTTTATAAAAGAAATTTTTAATTACCTAAGAAAATCTATATTTTGCCTCTAAAAAATTAAAAATAATAATAATATTATATAGAGTTCCAAATAATATTATAAAACATGTTCGTTAAATTTTCATCTACATTTTAATATATATTTTTCTAACTTTGTTTAAGGTTGCTTTTATTACTTATTTGGCCAAAATAACTACTTGAACAATGTATACTCTATATTTGAGTGTAATAACTAATAATATATGTTAACAATATTTTGAATGCAACCAGATTGATCGATTTAGAAAAAATCTATGTTAATTATTGTACTAATTAGAAATGTTGTTTTATTAATTAGGTAATTAGTGTCTCAACTATAGACGTGTATTAAATATTTAATGCGTCTTAGAAAGGTATTTATATATCTTGTTACGCGTAAAAGTACTTGAGAACTAAAAACTAACAATTATTGTATGAAATTTCAAATTAGTAATAACTAAAACCAACTTAAACAATTTTGTCATCTGACCTCTTGGTCCTTAAATGTAGTACCGTTACTATAAATTAATAACATTTTTTTCTATAACGCCTTTAATTCTATTAATAGCAATAATATAATTTGTTCATAAAACATTAGGAATCTGATAAATATTAACTGCCATAGCTCTCCTTGTACAAATGTTGATGTGTACCTACTTACTTTTTACAAGGTGATTTCCAAGGATTGTAAAAACGATAATAATGATTGTGGGAACAATAATGTTTGTTTTTACTGATAATTTCCATTAACGGCATTATGTATTCCGTTGAATTTAATACAACACCGTATGTAAAATGAAGCGACTTGAATTCCTGATTGAATGAGTGATCGATTACAGCCGGCCTGGCTGGGCTGGGTGTGTGTTAGTGTGTGTACATAGGGCCTCTTTAGCATAATGTATTATTAAAATATTGCAATGACCTCTAGTTGTTTGCTTAAAAGACTACAAAGGCCAACTTGCGTTTACATTTGATGTGCAAACAATGACTATGACGACGTATTCAGCTATTTTTATTCGCAGTTTTGACAAAATTCGGCACACCTGAGCTGTTAAATTCGGTTTTGCAATTTTGTCGCGAAATCTGTATTCATTTATTTTTCTCCTTCGCCTCGGCTGTTTGGGAACGGACAGAATATAAATAATTCTTATTTTTTTTTTTTAACCTAAAATATGTAACTTATAAGAACCGTGTGTTTATATTTGATTTGCAGTATCCGCCAAAAACGCATGACGAAATCAGAACGGCGCTGGACCATGTCAGCAAAGGGGCAACGGACATGGTGTTGAAGCTTTTGGAAACCAACCCTCAGTACAGGTTGAAGTCTCTCCGCCAGGCGAAAATCCAACCCTTTTTCCACGGTTTCGACTTCTCGGAAGTTATCTCAAAAAAGGTTACAACCATAAAGGTTCTTTGTTTATAAACAAAAAGTTGACAAAACCAAAAATACTAAACATCAAAACTATATTTACTATCCATTGTTTTATTTTTCAGGTCAAGCCTAATGAAATACTCCAACGGTATAGTAATGTAAAACGAACGCACGAAAAAAAAGAGTTACCTAATTTTGACGAATTTGATTCCTAACTGACTTTTTTTTTTTAGTATAATGTAAAGCAGTCAAATGCTTACCTACACTTACTGTGATGTTACCGTTATATTATATTCGTTATAATCGCTTCTTGTACCAATTTAATCTCGTTGAACGCTATTTCTATTGAAATAAAATAATATTATATATTGTTAATTGTTTGATTTGTGTAACTACAATATCTTTAACTGAAACAACACGTTAAATCGATTAATAGGACTTTCAGGAGTGGATATACTATAAATTCGCTACATGTCAATTAATTTAGTTATGACTAATAAATTAGGTATTTTTTTGTTACAAGTTTAAAATTACTCTAATGACAATAACACAAACAAATCACCCAATTTATGAGTTGTGACATGTTTTGTGACATTCGACCACAAAATTAAAATACAAGCGTTTTGTTCCACTGGGGAGGTAATCTTTAATATAAATAAGCACAACCCTTTTTTTTTAATTTGGCGACCATTTGTTTATTGTTTATTTCATACAAATTAATAAATAATATTATAACTTGGTGTAGGAAAGACAGGCGATTACCTGCCGCAGATTATATATAATCTAATATATAAAATATTAATAGTGTAGCTCAACATGTAGCTTAACATAGTATACATTTGTAAAATGATAATACTTAAACATAATCCTTTTAACAGTATAATATTAATAAACAAAACTATAGTTAAAAAATCTATTTTAATTGAGCGTCATTTCATTCATTTGAAATATGCATGTTCTGAACACACATAATTTAAAGAGCATAAGAGTCATATATGTATAACTATAGAACTAAACGATTTTCTAACAACTAATATTATGCAATATCATCATAGCTACGTGCAATCAGTAGTATACAAATGGTTTTAATACAGAAGACTGTAGAAAAGCGTTACAGTTGTTTTCACTGTTCATGCATGTTTTAATTAAAATGTTTAAAATCGGAATTTAATATTATATCACCAAAATTACCAAAACGTTGACTATAGCTAACAAGGGTCGAATTAAATATTCCTATAAATTAACAAGAGATGATGACAATAATACCAAGTAAAATAAAAAACATCTACCTATTTATTTAATAATGACGGTAGGCTGTAGCTTATATATTATTGAATAATGTTGGAGATCAATCGATAGCGGTAACGATTATTTTTTTGGTTTTTAACATTAAAACTTAAGCTAAAAAAAAATCCGGGCCTATGAAATTTCCGCATCTCGGGAAATCTTCTGGCACTGGAGGGAAACTTCCCGAAGGAATAATTTTAAAAATTAACGACAACCCATTTGACCACACCGACGTCTTTTCACTCCTGAACAACCAAAATCCTAAAACACATAATCAAAAACATTAAAATATCATGCGAAATGCATAAAACCTTTTACATTTTAGTACCCGTTTTTCTCGAAAATATTATTTCGGGACTACCCGCGCGGAAAAGTTTGTAATTTATCTCTTTCTAAAAAGTTTTTAATATAAAACCTCTGGAAAGTATACGCATCCCCGTTTTAACGTTTTACAGATAGTTTAATGTGGTTGGCTTTTCAAATAAAAACTTTTATTATAATATCAAATTTAAAATGTATTGTGTCCCGGCGAGATATAAATATTGACTGTCGGGAATTCACAAACACATCAACAAAATATACGTTTACATAAAATCCTCTCAACCACTTGTAAACTTTTTTAAATTTTAATTACTCAAGAGTAAAATATACATCTTGGGACCTACCTAATTAGTATATTTAAATATGATAATGAACTAAAGATCAATAGGAATAAGAGAATATGCAGAATATGACTTTGGAAGAGAAGGAACACATTTTGGTCCAGTGCTGGGCGACGGATGAGAAAACAAAACAAAGAATTTAGCAGAAATATAGATGAGAAAAAAATGTAAGGTGATACAGCCATTAAACTAGGTAAGGTGAAAATAACGATGATTGTGAATTGACAGATCAGTAAAGGCCAGAAAAAAAGTTGGAGAAAATTAAACATTAAATAAAAACTTAGGAGCGTAGAAATACATTTTAGAAAATCATTCAGGACATACTTTACATAATATCACAAAACGCGTTTTTTATAGTTTCAGATTATCCGATAAATCTGAGGTTAAATTCGGAATCGGCAAAGAAAATCCCAAAAAATTATAAATTTTGGTTATTATCCCTAAAAACCCCGTAATCCTTAGGAATCCTCTTCTAAGCCTTCGAGATCTTGATTATTCAATTTCTTCTGAACAATATTATTAATTGTAGTTTAATATAACGCCATCCGTTGTCCGTTCTTAGATATAATGGCTCTATCAGTTAGTAGTGACAGCTGAGAGAGATATGGAATCAAAGGTTTATGCAGGCCCAGATTAATAGGAATCCCAGGTGTACTAGTCCCGAATTTTAGGAGATCCCCTGCCTCTTATCTGTTTTAAGTTTGCCACGTAATAATTGAACGCTGCCCAGGAGCCCAAGTTAAGTGCCAATTTCAATAATTCAAGTCTTAAGTCTTTGGATGTTTAGAAACATTACCAGGATTGTCAGCAATAAACCGCACTGCTGTTACGCCTGCGGGAGGAACAGAAAACGTGTTCTTCAGTAAGGAGCTGTCGAGTGTCCTTATTAATAACTTTCCGGCTTTGTCCAGTTTCCTTGCTTGCTCTACAGAACGGACGTATGCCTTCTGCTTTTCACCAACCACGTGCAAGCTGTAACCGTGAAGATGGAACGAATGCGGTTCGCCCGTTCTATCTTCTGTGCCTATTGAACAAAATATATTCAATTATGGATACATCCAAATTGCACTATACTATCAATTGTGGAAAACAAATTATCATTTTGTGTCAAATTACCTGCGTCAAAGAGGACCAGTTCTGTGGCAGATCCCAAAGGTAACTCGACGATGTGCGTACACTCGCAAAACCTATGCTCTGGTCGACATCTTTTAGGCAAAAGCCCAGTTTCACAAACGTCAATGTCTTCTGGTTGATTTAGAAGCAGCGGCTCGGACGGCAGTACCATCGATATATTGTTGAAATTCGGCATTGACCACATTGCTGTACACAGATATTGAAAAATAATATTTTAACATACCGGATAATGCATTAAACAGTTAACCACGCTTACTTCCAAAATGATATTTGACGGTTGAAAATCCTAAATAAATGGTTTGTTCGATGTAAGGCGCAGATAATTCGTGAGGTAATGCCGACAAACTAGTTGTCTGCGAATTCGACAGTTCGGCCTTCATCTTGATATCATATTTATAAAACGTAAAAATTTGTTTATAATTTAGCAATGGAGCGACGCGTAGTGACGAAATGACTTGAGGATAAATAGGTCTAGGCAAAATACTTTAAGAGTTTAAGTTTAGTGACAAGAGAATAAAAAAAATTTAACGATATAGTAACTATGGGACTGTGAGTGTTGAAAATAGAACTCTAAATTAGCGTTTAATGAGAAGTAAAAAAAAAAAATAGAAGAAACTGAATATTGGTTATGTTCAAAAGAGCATGTAGAGGGATTAGGAATTTTAATTGAGTACTAAAGAGGTGGTTCAAGAGTGGCGTCCGTAGTAGATAAAACGAGAGAGAACAGATTGAGAAAGCTTAATGATGTCGAGAACTCAGAGTAAAAGGTATTCCGAAGAAGAAATAAATGCACTTTATAAAAAAATCACTTTATGATATAAATAGAGATTTGATGACAAATAGATAAATATAGATAGAGAGAATTTTTGTGACCAACCCTACTTGTATAGGATAAGACGAATGTAATAAAATTAAGAACTTTAAAATGTCTTTACACACTCACTCTGGTGTCAGGACCACTGAACTCAATATATAAAATGCGTATTGACTATAATCGGCTACTTATGAAAATGTCCCCTGGTAAGAGGCTGCCATTTTGTGTACCGTTATTGTTTTGTCCATGATATTTATTGTTTTTTCTATGATTTATCATATATATATATATATATATATATGACAGTGTTATCATCACCTAACCTAACATTTTAATACATATCATGGAAAAGTGACGTAGCATTTTTACTTTCTATGAAATTGTACACAAAATGGCTGCATCCCAGGTAAGGACATTTTTCAACCGGAATACGCGTTCCATATATTGAGTTCAGTGGTCAGGTCTTAGAAATATCTTTTGTTAAACCAGCTATACCTAATGATGTACAAATTTGGCGGGCTTTATTGTCATTTTTTATGTAAATACTAAACTATTAGTCATCGATGAATCAATTATTTACGTACGTTGCGAATTGGATTTTTCATATCATTTATGATGTCGTTTAATGATGAATTGTAGTTTATTGTCATCGTGTAGGTGAGATTCAAGTACACACACCGACCAACGGATTCGAAAACCATGTCGAAATCGCCTTTGCCTTGGCGTGTTGTGAGGACAAAATCCAAAGTCTCATCTAAAAGTTAAAACAAATCGTGACAATCTCACCGTGTATACTCACATAATATAATTCTACTCTTTCTCACCAGGTTTCATTTCCAGATCACTGACGGTTTTTGGTTCCATTCCGTGGCCATCCATCGCTATTATTGTTAAATAGTGTTGGTCGACTGTTATTCGAAGTGGACACCGCAAATCACCACCGAAATTTATCGCTCTGAATCTATATCTAGAGTTGGTCTTTACCGTCATCGACTTTAGAAAAACCAAAACCAATACTTAAGTTATAATTTTATCTGTGTATATTTGTATGTATATTATCTAAATACTATCGAGTAAAAATATATATTATTTAAAAATTATATTGTTCTTATAAAAGTGTATAAAAACTATACATTAACTTGACAAAACCGTTACTGTAATATTGGCAAGATGAAATACTTAATTTGTATGGATGATCAGGTAAAAAAATAAAGTTATCTTAATTCATATTGGTGTAAGTAAAGGGAAAAGGGGAGTGGGGCTAAGAAAGTTCAAACTCTTTTTAAGTCCTTTAGGCTCTCTAAAAACAAAAATAATCGTTTTTTTTAAGGTACATCATAATATTGTAATATCTTATTAGCTGACTTTCAACATTCCTATCACCTTCTTATCATATCAACTGATTTATCATTTCTCCGCTTTGATGTATCGATTTATTTTAATAACTGATAATATCGTGACTGGACACATTTTTTTTGTTTACCCCTAGTATAGAGCTGTACGCCTTACGATTACTTATTACCTTAATTGGTAAGGGTAAAAATAATTTGACCTATATTCTAATCAAAACATCACAATTTCCAACGTCTATTACATATATAATCCGTTAACAATTTATTGACCCTGAATCGATTTAAATACTAATTCAGAATCGAAGCATTTTTCAGCACTTAAGTGATAATTTATGTAACTTTCAAACTTATTACCACATCTAATTCAATGGCTGTCATTTAAAAAAAAAAAATCTTTGCACATACTGTATTCAATAAAATTCCGTTGACTCGCATTGCGTATGTACCGTTCTCAGCAGCGTTTTCAATCAACAAAGTATCTTCGTCATGATCATACAAATTAAAATGAGGATCTTGACGTCTTGATTGTTTCACCACAAATCCCCCAAACAATTTGTCCGTTAATTCGTCCCCTGTGGGTATCGATGACACCAAATTAATACTTCGTATATTTTTATAACTATATTGAATTAATTAAAAATATCAACAAAGACCGGGAGGACTTTACCAGATAGCACTTGCCACCAATGAGTACCGGCTTCAGTGGCTCTGAATTTGTACTGGAACGTAGTGTGTGGCAATATCGAGCATTGTGTAATCATCGGTGCTCCGTCCATTACCGGCGTTTCTTTTTGATATTGACCTCTCCAGTGTAACGACAAGCTGTGTCCTGGTATTCGGTTTACAATATCTATCACTATAATGTCGCTTTGGCATACCTGTGAACATTATTATTTGTATTGTTCAATTATTATGTGTTTTTAAAGGTATGATGCAATTTTAATTAAAAGTTTACTATCTTGTACATACTTAAGTGATTGATTTTTGAATAAGCCTAAATGATTAATTAATCAATAAAATTTAATAACTCAACATATTAAATTCTGAATGGTTATTATTTGTTCTTTTCAATCAAAAAGTGTTACCATAAGTTTTCTAGTGTAACAGAAAAGTAAACATTGACTACCTAGTACTCTATTTAAATATTATTTACTGTGCACGTGACTGTCAGGAGAAAATTACTCTTAAAATATATATTCGACTGTTTAACTCAACCTCATGTTGATTCGGATTTTAAAAATTGTATTATTTCAATACATTTTTAAAACAACAATAACAAATGAACAATACATTAAGTATGCAAAACGCAGTTTAAGAGTTGCCAATAGCAGCTGCAAAGTGAAATAATTGTTTTAGATTGTTCTGGTATATATAAAAAAGGGAGAGAAACGTTTAAATTACGTATAAGCTTATGTGTAGCGCCTAGCGGAGTTTATAAAGGTATACCGAAAGAGTAGACGGATGTTCTTAACAACAATATATAACGATTAGTACCACCTGTATGGGATAAGACGAAAAATAGTTAAATCTACTATTTGATCAAATTGCATTGGCATACATTGTTAGTAAAAAAGATATCTAATCGATCATCTTAATTTAAGTAGAAAACAACGAATGTTACAAGCGCGTTGGTATATAATTAATACCTAACAGTTAACACGTCTTATTACCTTCTTTTAATAATATTATATTGTAATTTGTAAGTTATTATATTGTGTTATAATTGCATAATCTCAATGGCATAATTATGTAGACATTGTTTCGTGGCTTACATTGTTTATATGTACTTACTTTAATTGTCGGACCGGGGTATTGTTTATTGGCAGTAATAATTTTATTTGAGGTTTTGCCACAATAGACATCGTTATTCGTTTGATTGTGTAAACATTTTTGATAATTACTAAAAAAAGACCAATTTAATTAGATCAAGATTATAACATAGCTAAAAAAGAGTACCTATTGATTAAAATCTTGTATTCAGGTTATACATTATAATTGATTAAAAAACTGTTTATTTATTTATCTGAGATAAAATGTTATTATTGGTTTAAAATTATTTAGATATTTTATATTTTTATTAAAATGTATAGCAGACTTGATTAATGAATAAAGACGAATTCTGAATTTCAAGCTATGGACGTACTCTATAGTATGTCTATAAGAAAAATTAAAAAAGGTTTGGCTAAAAAAATTAAGCCACAACAAAATTGTGACGCGTCAAAGTTCAACAATTGAAGTTGAAAAGTTCAGTTTTAGAGTTAATTTATTTTATTTTGTCGAATGAATGGTATTTAAATTTCTGACATACCCAGATATATTTGAATATTAACTAAATAACATGAATTTGTACCTTATAGCTTCTTGTCAAAGCATAAAAAAATGAAACTTGAGAAATTGTTTACGTTGTTATTATTTTTAAACAAGAAAAGCATTTAGTTCATACTAAGCGTTTCTTTTCATTGTCGAGATAAGCCTTTTTAATGTAATTTATAGATTAGATCATTATCTGATGAAAATAATTATGAGTTTTTGTGTTTTTCACTCACCTTTGAGCGCCTTGAGTTTCTAAAACGATTTTGTACCGGCAAATTAGCGGCCATTCGAGTTCGTGGCATTCTCTATCACAGTTTTCTTTCGAGGATTCTAAAGACAAACAAATTGTTTACCATTATACATTAAAATAAACAAACATGTAACTAGATTTTTAGCAAAATAAAATTTATTGAATTAACAAAATGCATTTCGCACTGGATAGCGTTTTTGACAATTCGTTTTTTGTACAGTCTTGTATAGACTATACAAAGACTTATTGTTGAAAACTTTTAGCTTACATACCTGGTAACTTGGTGTTCCACAGAACAATCCCTGTGATAGTAGCTACACCTAATACGGCTGAAAATTTGCCACCGAATCCTTTAAGCCGTTTTACCGAACCCATACTTAATCACTCATCAGGCTCCCAACGACAAATGACAACTGTTCTTCCCAACAACCTAAGTATATCACACACATAGCCAGTGTCCGTTTTTCCTTTTAGACACTTTCCACTTATTGTCCAATTATACCCATGACTTTCACTCGACAGTGTTAATAAATATTTTTTAAACGCATATTGTGTTGGCAGTTCACTTTTTATAGTAATAAAACATACATAACAATATAATAGATCAATTCGCGACGCATAATCATTTGCGGTCGTATTATTATTCTGATATATCTATACATCTAATATAATGTAACTATATAAATCAGTCGCCCACCTATATCCAATAGGTATAATATAGATACATATTATACCAAAAAGAAAACAGTGTATTATATCAAACGTACTCGTCAAAGAAATCGAAAAATAATAATTACCTATTCTCTATGTCTACCTCGACAGCTTCATAGTGCACAAACGTTTCATTTGGTAATCAAATCATAAATTAGTTATTAAACCTGATTTGTGGACTGTACGAAGAAAGTAATTTCTTAAATTATTTACACTTATATTATACATTTCAGCTGTCTCTGAAGCTGTATGAAAATAATAAAATACAGCCTTGAAATGTCCCAAAGACAGTCTACGAAGGTTTAATTATACTTGTATGTTCCCTTCCTTTGAAAAAAAATAAACTTTGATTAAATTTATTAAATTAATATTTCGGTTAAACGGTTATTTTTTTCAATTTTCAATTTATAATTATGCGGTAAGTACATTTTACATAACTATGACACTATATTAACTATTGTCTGTTAAATAATTGAATTATTTTTTTAACGTTGCTTAAGACGTGTAATTTTTTTTAAGAAATCCCATTAGTAAACCTTTATGTCTAAACCAGGGTAACTCTGAAGTGACTCAGAGTGACTCTGCCATTAATCTTGACACTAGGTGTAACCTCACTGTGTATAGTTATAAAACCAAGGTTACAATGTACTTGGAAGTAAATGCTTACCAATAATACCTATTTTAATTATCACTGGCAAAAGCACACTAGTACATTCATTATCCACAATACGGATCCCTTCGGGGTAAACCACAAAAGCCAAGGTACATTTATTGTATTAAGAAAAAAGTCTCTATTAATTATTATTATAAAATATCTATATAGGCTTCTAAAACAAATAATATTTTGTTCTATAATAAATTATTGTACCTAGTCCATGTATCGTTCTATTATATTACAGATATCAATCCTAATAATAACTTGAATATTTTATTGTTAGTTGTTTTAAAATCAATATATTATGCTTTACGAATTTTAACAACTCGAGAATTTGCTTTATATTTAAAGAAAAGAAACGTTGCAAAAAAAAACAATTATTATAATATACAATAAATATGAATGCAAGATATCGAACTTTTTTAAAAAACTTAAGCAGCTAATAGAAAAATATCTATTTATAAAATAAGTTATATAAATAGAACATAAAAATGTATTTTACTTCTATGGATACACCTCTGAAAATTTGATGTATATATATATAATTATTTATCGTCGGTTTAACAATTGATTCATTACACCTAATACTAATCGAATATAATAAAAAATTTCACAATCAGTTTTTTCTTAAGAAAGTTATTTATTGGTATAATTGTCACCGGTCACGTGAAACATTTTTTGACAGACGGAGAAAATGTAAATATAATTCAATTTTTCTAGAAATAACCAAAAAAGCGCGTCTTTTATTTGATTTTGTAATCCGCGTTAACATCATAATATGACTTATTTAATCGTGTTAGGCAGTTAAAATTAATTTTTGTTCTATTGTTAAATTTAATCCGAACATTTTCATTTGAGCATTTATTTGCAAAAAACGGTCCCACCTGTTCGCCTATATTAAAACAATTTATACAGTATAATATTACATACTTACCGAAATCTGGTATTGGCGTATAGTATATTATAGTGACTACTACAGACAGGAGACCGATCAGAATGGATATCCGAAACATACAAGCGCACAATACGTGGTTTTCGTTTGCCATGTTTGCACAGAAATTATTACGAACTCAACAAAAGCATTATAGAAACAGATACTATATTTTTTTCGTTGGTAAACTAAAACTATTGCGGTTTATACGATTATGTTTGGCCGGCACTGGCACTGTGACGATTAGTTAATACATTGAGTAAGAACAACAATTCACTTGAGTGAAACTTGGTGGTAATATGTAGGTACACGGAGAGTGGAGACTGGACCGCGTTATAGGTACCCGCCATCCGAAAGTAGGACATGACACTACTATTCTCCAACCATTTTTCAAACGAAAGACGACCTATACAGTAGGTATACCGCACATGCACGTTAATAATGTTTTATAATAATGATATAACAATAATACCGTACCGGTCAGGATCAACTTAAATACACTCACCTTCAATCCTTTGGACGACAAATTACGTATACACCTATCTGACTCTCTGAACGCAACACAACAATTAAAAATGTTTTATAAAAGCTACAAAATTAAAATATAAACTAGGTACCTATTTATAAAAAAAAAAAACATACCTATAGTGGTTATTTCTACCATATTATTGTATAGATAATGATTGCGATTCTCCATTGTCTAAATGTACAGCTGTGAATTGCGTTAACTTTGGTAATTGTGATTTTTTTTTGTTCTGTTTCTGATTGTGTTGATAAAGTTTAATGTAGGTAATCCGTTATAATAATATCGACACCTTAGTTCTGCAAAGGTTTAAAAAAATTACAAAAAATATATGCTTAAGAATTTTTTGTAAATAAATAAAACTTTAAAACGTTAAATTTTGAAAAGAAAGTTAAAATTGTTCCAATTTTTTTTTTCAATTTTAAAAATGTATGATGTGCAGTAGTTATAAAATGTTTTTTTTTTAAATTATTATTCCCGGATTATGTTTTTTTCAAAGACCTCTAAAGAAAGAATACTTTTAGTTCTTTTTATACATTTCAATAATAAAAACTGATTTGAGTATAACTACATTTGATAAAAAACTTAAAAATTTAATTTAAATACTAAATTTTAAAAGATTTTGACAACATTCTTAAATATAACGTTAATAAGTTATTAGGTATGTCTGAGAGTGAAAATCCCTCACACATCTGCATCTAAATTAAAAAATATTGACTAGGTATTGTAAAATCAATACTTTTTCAGTTCCTCTTTCATGCTATACCTATTATGTATTAAATATAAAAAAAATCACAGTGCATAATAATAGCCTCAATTATGGATAACTAATTGGGTTAGAACTAACTGAATTAATAATCATTAAACAAATGTAATAATTGTATTCCTGTAAAAAGTAATGAATTACCAAAAAATGTATATTCATAAATAAATAAGTTTATACAAAATTACTAAAATTTAGTAAACAATCAATAAGTAATAAACGAAAAATAAGTTGTATGAAAAAACGACCCCAGCGGTAAAATATTTCCATGTTAATATTATGACAAATTTTTTTTTAACAATGTAGTACAAATCATAAGTACAAAATATGCAAACAATAATGTTATTCATAAATAATGAATTGAACAGAAAATTACATAGTGAATAAAATATAATACAACGAAATTTGTTAGGATATGTAAAAAAAAAATCAACTAAAAACAAAGGTAAATAATAGACTTTGTGAATTAATTATCAAAAATGTATTCATATGGGAACTCGTATTAGGAAATGATTTACAAAAATAAACTATACTATATGAATATCAAAAAATCGTTATTACAATTTTTAAATTTAGTTAACAAAGTATAAGTAACAAAGAAAATTAAAAAATGCAGTTGTATCTAAAACTTGAGAAAAACTTTATAATACTGTAATCATGCTAAAAGTTTAGCATTTTTACAGTCACTGAAATGTTAACTGAGCTCTTTCACAAACCTAAAACAAAAATCAGTGCAAACTAATACCAGAAAAATGGCTGAAGCAAAAAAAACCAAGCACAGTCCGAACAGCCTCTAACCACAACAGTTAACAGTAGTTAGGCCTTTTCAGAGTCGCCTATATATGTTTGCATATTTTTATTTTGCAACAACGAATTATGCTTTATTATACTATTATGAAAAACGATTAAAATAAGATATTTAAATAAAAGTAATCAAACATTTTTAAAATAAAAAAATCTTTATCGGGTGTTATCATATTCCTTTTTTTTCCATGGGATACCTAACATGTGTTAGGTATCCCTAACATCTCTTTATCTCTTTTTAACGATATCGACCCTCGGACCCCTCTAGTCTCTACTATCAGGCATCAGCCCATTTCTTTACAGATTTGGATTTTCTGTTTTGTTTGAGTTCTGAAATGAGACTTTCCGCTTTCGATGATAGTTGTTAAGTATTTATTTTATATAGAAAAAGCGTACTGGTATATTATATTCATAAATAAATACAAAACAATTAATATTAATCTAATATATAATTATTAATAATATACTATACAATTACTAATAATATGCAATCTAGTGGAGACACGATATCGTAGCAAATAATATACATTTGAAAATAAATTCCTAGTACCTACCTAAAAAGCTTAAGAAGTTAAACGAGTCAGTTTTTCAAAAAATAAATATTTTAACAGGTATTTATTATTTTTTACAATTGTATGACATCATACATGTACTCCCCAATTTTTTTGTGTAGCACCCAAGGTGGACCTTGGTAGCATCTTTAAATAAATAATTGTTTTTCTATATTTTTCTTTTATGTGACAATCACTTTTGTCTTTTCACTCCATAGGACTTAAATTACATGACAAAAAGCAATCCTTATTGATACCATACATTATATGTGATGGTCTTTTAATTTCAACCTTTAATGAATAATTGATAATATAAATTATTATCATAAGAACCCACCAACGACAGCTACTGCCGATTTAAGGTTAGGTAATCTAATAACCTTGGCTGCCGATCCCCTTCACAGATATCATATGTTATGATGATAAGCAGAAGCTGAACACGTGGGCTATATCATATCAAATCATCATCCATCACAATTCACATTATACAAATTAAAAATAAAAATAATGATTTTTGCTGTTAGTTGAATGTGGCAAGTGCACCGGCGTTTTTAAAATCGTCTATCGAGATAATATACCCATCGGCCATCACTTGTGCAACCACAGCTGATAATGTCTAAAACCCCAAATGGTGAAGATATATAACTATTGATTAATATAATTATTAACAGTTTCTAGATAAAAATGATGTAATGTCTTTGGACAAAAATGTGAATATTGAAATATTTTGTTGTTATTGTTATTATTATTAACTTAAAACTTTCCGTGTTTCCTTGGTGGGTATCTCCGTTACAGTATTTTAATATGTTTACGATCATTTTATAATTAAATAATATCGCTGTCGTGATGTCACCAAAACCGTTCTAGTGGGGTACATACCCGCATACACTTTTAACTAACAATACAGAACTGACAGAAAGTGCTATGACTACGGCTAAGATGGAAATCGAAAGCTCTGACCTCGTGAGTATAATAATTAGTTTAAACAATTACAATCATTTAACGATATTGTTAGTATGTAAAAAATAATTATTACGAAATTAATAGTATTTATGTTGTGTCAATTCGATTTAATGTTATCTTTTCTTGTCTTTGACCTTTCACAATAAAATACTCTCCGATTATATACAAATACTTCTACTTAATATTAAAAAGCAAAATTTAAGTAGTGTTTAAGGGTTTTTAAATTTATTTCAAGTATATTGTTGTCTTGTTTTATAAATTGTTTTACGTCATACTTGTCATATCGTTACAAATATAATATATTATTCCTAAGCTATAGATGTAGCAGGTATTAATAGATAAAGAGGAAATACTTAAATAGTTTTAACATTCTTAATATATATTTATACATTATAAAACAATAAATGAAAAACCCCATTCTGTAGCAAAATCACAATTTTAAAATAGTCTGGTGGAAACTGTAAAATGACCTAATACAATTAAAAGTTTCCCTTAATTATTGGAAAATCATATCTCATAAATTTAAAAAAAACTAATTTTATATTAAAACAAATTTTGAACTTTTTTACATTTAAAATGTTGTAATAATATTTTTTTTTAAAACAGTTTTATTAAGATATTATCTTCAATTTATAAATAGGAACTTATGAGTGGTGAAATGTCAAAGAAGACAATAAGACAATGTGAAGCCACTTTTATTTAATATAAATAACAAATCTTTGGGCAAAAATATTAGTAAAATATTGTTAGTTGTCTCCCCCGGTTAAGACTCTGGCCTCGCTACTAATACTTATGCATTGTTGGATGAGTAAATAGTGATGCCACAGTGCACTGGTGTTTTAAGTGTATTTTTTATTATTTTACGTTAACTACTTTATAGTACTGTATCGTATGTGTTTAATTTACTTCACAATGGCTTCTAGCTGCAAAATTGTAATTTTTAAATTCGATATTTGTACACAACACGTAGAAGCTATTAGGTAGGTATCTATTGTCTTACATAATTCAATTTCTCCAAAAACTTCTCTCAGCATACCTGTGCACTATGCTATCGCTACTGTCTTTTTATTTTTATTCATAATGAAGCTGTACATTGTGCGATACAAAAAAAATTATAATTTTTCTCAAAAGAAATTTTGAAAAATGTATGTATGTGTGTATAATATGTTGAAGATTTGTTGTTGTCGATGTCTCTCTTTAGATATAATTTATTTATTCGTATGGCTTAATAATACTCGTATGGCATTATTGAACGGGAAAGAGGCACTATAGCTAACTTGGTCCTCTCCGGTCGCCGCGTGGTGTGGTTTGCCGCTAAAAACCCGGGGTGTCATTATTTAGATATAATGACATTAATTATTATTATTTTGTTCCAGATTGATGTACCAGATGTTCCACCAGTGCCTGATTATAAAAGTCTTAATTCATGCATTAATTACCCGAAATTCTTAGATTTTGGCTGGGAAGTTTTGTATAAAAAGTATACATACAATTTTTTAAGACTGCTTGAAGACTATCCCGATATATGTCGAATATTTTTGATTATCAAATTGGACTTATTTCAAAACAATTTGAATAATGTAAAAGCTGAATTGAATAAATTTAAACTCAATCAATCCGACGCCGCTACTCAATTAACAAAGAATTTAGTAGGTATAATCCAGGACGCTGATCCTATTTTTTTGGATATTGTCGGAGAAATTTACGTATTTAATCATGAACATTTATATGAATACATCGAAAAAATAACATCCAAGAAAAAATGTTATCCAAAGTTTAAAGAGCATACTGATCGCGTGAAAAATATAAAGATAATCAAAAGTTTGACAACAGATTTTAAGATTGAAGACTTTCTACGTATGTGTCCAAACCCTGTTGATTACTTTGAAAGTAGTACACAAAACACTGAACTAAGACGATGGTACAACGAATCTGTAACCTATTTAAGTACAAAGTAAGTCCAAAGTTTAGATACTGAATAACTCTTAAGGGGATTGCATGCGGTCTGTTTTTTTGACGTTTTATACCAACAAAGCCAGACAAAATTCCGACTACTTAGAATGGTCAAATTTCATTTTTATAATTTTGTTCTTTGGCAACTCTACTAGGATATGTAAGAAACAAATTATTGATTTTTTATATAAAAAAATTGAGTTTTAATATTGAAAATATTGCAAATTTAATTAATTTAATTACAAGAAACTGTAATTATGAAATGGAAATCGGCTGCCTACATAGCATAGTAAATTAGCCAAAGAACTTAATCTCTTTACAAGATTGAAATTGGATTATCCTAAGTAGCCGAAATTTTGTCTAGCTTTTTGGTCTAAAATAAGCCAAAATGACATTCACTCGTGTAAATATTATATAAATTAAAAATAACCTTGAAGCTTAAAAAATTCGGTAAATTAATTAACATGGTCGAAATTTATTAAAACCACTTTTATCTTTAATATTGCCTATAGAAAACTCTTTAAAAAAACAGACCGCATGGAATCCCCTTTAACAATAATAGTAAATTTTACTAACTTGAGTTGCATAATTTTAGGATAGAAATTTTTTTTTTTACTTCTGAATAAAATTACCAGAATTTTTTTATTTAATTCTTGTGCATGAAATTTGATTGCCTATAGATTTCCCTACGTAGCACTAAGTAAAATCCGGACATTACTATATTCGTTCCGCAATAATCTAACAAGCACATACAATGCATTAGCGAATGACCCGAAAACTAACACTTTGAAACGCAAAAGAAAACCATCGTCTGAAGTGTTACACGAAGTAGTAGACGATATAGAATATTTAAAAGAAGTAACTACAGCGAAGCATTTCATTTTATTACTAACACCACGCGTGTATTTATTTATGATTTTATGTTATTATATTATTATTAGGTAGCTTATTTAGAACATAAAGACGAAATAATTAACTATATTGAAAACCAAAAGACTGTTTACAAGCTCAAAGTGGAAGAGGTAGTGTATATTATTTTTTTGTATCATAAATCATAATTTTTAATGTAAATTTTTTTTTTTACAGGCTAAATCTGTTGGCCAGCTTTGTACCTGCGAATGTTGTTATAATGATGAACTTTTAGTCAGTGAAATACGTCTTTGTCCGAGCCGCCATTTATTTTGTTTATCGTGCATCAAGAAGTAATTATTATGTTTTTACTATGGCCAACTTCAGTGGTGTATTTATGGGGGTTATATCTCCCTCCGGGGCCAGGGAGGTTATTTGAAACATAATTTAAAATATAACAGTCACATCTGATGAAGTACTCAATATTCTTTCGCTGTCCTTAAGAAAACTAGACTTTGTTTGTAGTTAAAAATTCAAATTTTTATTTACATGCAACATGTATATAATAATATGAATATATATTTATATTGAATAGGTATGGCTGTTAAAATCTGTATATCCTCCCCTCCCCCTGTGAAAAAATCCTAGATACACTACTAGCCAACTTAATAGTTGTTTTAAGGTTTTTAATTATTTAGTTGTTATTGACAGCAATGTTATGTTGCAACTTAAAAGCGGTAATATATTTCAACACAGCTGGGTATAAATTTGCTTACAAAATAAAAAATAAAAAAAAACCATGTGTACTTTTACAAAAAAAAAACCGATTAACCTTTGTTGTTGTTTTTTTTTTTTTAGAGGAATAGAAGTTGCTGTTGGCGGAAATCAATTGCGCCTGAAATGTTTTGCAAACTGTGATGAGGAATTTAATCTAGTTATGTTGAAAGTAAGAAATTATTTATAACTATTGATAAATACAATGGAAGAAGTAAAATTTACAACTATTTTACAATATTAAATGATTAAAACACCTTTTGTCTTTATTCTCTATTTTTATGACTTTGATTGTTTTTCTTTCTGATTTTTCTTACTTACAAACTTACTATTTTTTAATTACTAATGCAAAGTAAACTTTTTCTCATAAGCTATACTAAATTAATACTAATTAGAGTTTCTCTTAGATTATTTTTCAACATTAATAAATAAATCAATTTTCAAACTGAATTGGTATTGCTTCATTTATCACTGATATAGTCTTATTAGTATTTTCTAAATATTACTTTGACTTGATAAAATTAATTATTTTGTATAAGGCTTATTTTCAATTGATAAAAATTACAACCTTCTTATAGGATATACTTGACGAAAAGCTGTATCAACGTATAGTTAGATTGAAACAAGCTCAAGAAATCAAAGAGGCCGAAATTGAAGGACTTGATACGTGCGCTTTTTGTGATTATTCAGTTATTCTCTCTCCTAGCCATAAAATCGTTAGCTGTTTAAATCCAGAGTGTAAAAAAGAAACATGCAGGTCAGACAGTGATTAGATTAATGGCTACAGTTATTTGAATTTTTATGTATTATTAACAAATATGATTTATATTTATGCTAATAGGGAATGTCGAGAAGAAAGCCATTTTCCGTACAAATGTGACCAAATAGAAAAGAGCGCCGAAGTAAAAGTCAGGACCATGATTGAAAATAAAATGACTGAAGTCCTTATAAGGTGACTTATTACATGAAAATATAAAAGCCAATATATTATGTAAAAAAAAACAAAAAAAAATGTCAGCGGGTTTGTCGTGCATAAATACTAATGTAACATGACAAAATAGTGTCTATTTAGCTCATTTAGCCATATATTTAAACCAATGTCACCCTTATTATAAAAATTAACCGTTGTATATTCATGCATGTTCACAGAACGTGCAGTTTCTGCAATCGCAAGTTTGTCAAGGAAGACGGTTGTAACAAAATGACGTGTAGCTGTGGCAAAATAATGTGCTATATATGCAGAAAACCCATTCCGCCTACATACGAACATTTTTATCATGATAAAGTACAAGAAAACAAGTTAGTGTCTACGTGTATTTTTTATAATTATTTTCAAACATGACATAATGTATTTATTCACGCACTTGCCTTACTCGATATCTAGGTGTCCTTTGTACACAGACGAAAATATTGTTCACGCTACCGCAGTCGAGGCGGCTGCTAGATTAATTATAAACGAGCTAAAAGAAAAACAGCCTGAACTATTGAGACATATTGATATCGATAAAATCTTACCAGTTATGAAAAAGACTTCGAGTTCCAAGTATATATCTGCATTAAACGTCAATAGATTAGTTGCTACGGTGATTGGTCAAAATGAAGACGATGTGAAAAAGTTAACAGATTTGAGTGAGTTTTCGAGTACAAGCATTTTTCAATTACAAAAAAATAACCATACATTTATTAATAAATATATTTTTAATTTTATAGGATTCAGAGAACCCCCTCAAAAAAAAGCAAGACGCTAATATGTGTAATACATAAAATAATAGTTTTAATTTGTTACTATCTTATATAAGTAACCTCACAAGAGTTGATTGTTACCTAAACAATCCTCGGCTTTCTTGTATAACTATAATATTAAAAAAGTTTTTTTTTTTCTTTTCTATAACATTTATACTTTGAATAAAACACTATTTTTTTAAATTTTGAATATATACTTTAAAGTTATGTTTTGGCTTAGCTATTTCCCAATGAAACTTGTCATCGGTGTTTTGTAAGGAACAAACACTTAACTCGTGTATAGCAATTCAAAACTTTAATAGTTTATGAAACAAATTTTATTTTTCAATCTATTGGTAAAAAAATGTTTTTTATAATATATAGTAGGAAAATGGTCATTAAGTTTGACTACATAGGAAAATTATATTCCTGTGCGACATTAAAAATTAATTAATTTGTACTAAAATTGAATTTATAGAAACTAAAAAAAGGTTAGCATACAATTTTAAAATTTTTAAAGCAAATCGTTAACATTTATTTGATTTTGTACACAGATCGAGCTCGATATAAATCATAAGTTCTAAACTGGGTTAATCGCTTAAATTACATTTTTTTTTTTTATGATGCGATTCGAGGCAATTGATAAACAATTGAGTTTTGAGATTTGATTTGTACAATTTATACATTTGAATGTAATCAACAAAAGTTACATTATTAAGGTGTAGTATTAATAATAATACTAAGTAATTGTAACAAATAATTAAACATTAATATAGTTAGTGCAGGTACGTTGAAAATATCATTCCCTAACAAAGCTTATGCTAGATAAAAACATGTTGAGGTAGCAAGAAAACCGAAAGATAGTATCTATTATAATAATAGTAAATTTACAAATTTATATTTAAAAAAAATGTATAGTAAAACTAACAGTAAAACAGATTTTTTTTAAATTAATCTTATTAACAAAATAAAAATAATGAACACTACTATAATTAGACTGTAATAATATTTAACATGGGCTTCAACTCAGTCTACAGTGGGGAAAAAAAACAAATAGATTACTGTTTGTGTTGTTTCATAAGTACTGACAGAGAATCTTTGATTGCGTGGAAAACGATATTTTTTATTTGTAATTTGTCTTCGTGGTTCGTATGGCCGTCAGTAAGATCACGAAATTCTTGGGTCATGCGAAACGAATGGTGTACGTTTTCCGGCGAAACAAAGTCCTCAGCCACTTTGATGCAGTTATGTAAATTTCTGACCTGAAAAAAAAATGTTTTAAAGTTAATCATGAGTCATTAGGCGACGGAAGAGTTGATAAACTGTACATAAGAACGACGAAAGAAAAATAGAAACGGGTTGGACAGAATTTTGATTGTGAATATTAAGTGTTGGAGGAGTTGAATCATGGCATAATAAGCTTAAGTACAATATAAAACTGCACGTGTAGTTCTACATTAGTGTTATACGACATACATTAACTTAATAAACACCGTCTGTATTATATAACAATAAAAATAACAATAGCACAATAAATTATTTAAAACGCACCCGAATAAATGGTTATTTTTTCTATAACTAAGTATGGCGAACAAAGTATGGCGATACTGCAAAAATTCAGAAATCTTAGAGAATATACAATTTTTACTATGTGTAAAATAACAGCTTTCCATTTGAGTACCACTGTAACTCTACAGTGGCCATGGATGAGTCTCCTAAATTTACTGAAAGCCAAATATCACGACAACACATACATTCAGCTTACTTTTTCAGAAATAGATTTAATTATAGCCTCCGAAGAACCCAAGAAATTGAATGTCATTTAAGAAAATTGTCGAAAAAAATACTGCTTGATCACAAAGCTAAAGTAAAATTCATAGTAATTTCAGAAGATTAAGAAAAAACAATTTGTGAATTTTTTAGTAGTTCTAATATAATTTTGGAAAATAAAAACAGTTAGTGTTTTAAAAAAATTGTATTTTAAGATTATACTAGTTGTGTATTATTGCCACACAATTATATCGTAATATGAAATTATAATTCAAAAATACAAATTCCAAATACAAACTATTTTTCTATAAAATAATTTTTGTAGTTTTTGCATTTTAACAAACTTATTGCTACAAGAAAGTTGTCTTTACAATTAAATGGCAGCTGATGTTTTCAATGTAAAACACAAAAAATAAAGTTTGTCATTATTTGTGTTAACGAATAAAAGAAATATATTTCAAATGAACAAATAACAAAAATATACACTAAACATATTTATTTCATTTTTTTAAGAAATAAACACACTTCCAATTACCAAAAGTGAACCGTTTAACATAGAGCCTTTTGTTTGAGAATAAATGCAACTCTACATAAATGTTTTTTGTACTGCACTGTAACACGAATAGTTTATACTGGTAAAATGTTTTTTAACGTTTCTACGGATTTCTTATTCTTAATAACCATAATCTTACTCGCGTCATACTCACGCCAGTGTTTGTCGAATGATCAAGAACTTACCGACCTACTAAATACACTTCTAAAAAATTCTGGATGGGGTCAGCTCAATCACGTGGAAGTCATAAATCGCGATAAACCACGCGTTCAGTCTTCTTTTTCAGGAATAGATTTATACATACCCTCAAAAGAACCCAATCAATTTAGCGTCACTGAAGAAAACGTCGAAAATAAATACTGCATAACCACTAAGCTGTTGGGATGTGTGTATGGAACTGCTATGGTTAAGTTCATACATTTGACAAAACGCATTATGGACGAATGTAGTAATGAGTTAAGACTTGCGAGAGCAAGAGAACGAATCCAAAGATCACGTTTTAAGATCTCGTATGGATTAGGCGAGGTTTTTAAAGTAAAACCAGGTAACTATTGCAAATTCTGTACACTCTTTAACACGGTTCTGGAACAATTTGAAAATAGTAGACGGATGTTTGATCACATGTTATGTGCAATGATTTATTTAGTAAACCCGATTCAAACAATTAGCAAATATCATGGTATCCCTAACTATATAGAATCACTTATAAAAAGCATAACTAAGATTCGAGATATAAAGACTAACCTAAAATCGTATAAATATCATGAGAACGTCGATGAAGATTTCTCTGCATTTTTTCGAACAGTAAAAAACCGTGTACACCACCAATTAAAATGGGTTTTGTTACGTTTTATGAAGAAATACTGTTTGCTACCAAAAAAAACTCATAATATTGATCTTAATCAAATACCTACAATGGATGCAGAAACGGTAGAAAATGAAATAACTAACCAGTCTCTTAAGGTAAGTAGATACTCTGAGAATGCGGTCAAATTGCAGATCAAAGAACACGCGGAAGAGGTTATAAAAAAATATTTTTTGAAATTAGGGTTTCAGTTCGTTGAAATTACAAATTAATTATTCTTAATCAAATGTGTTTTTTTGTTTTGAAATAAAAACTGGGTATTACATATACTTTTTTTTTATAAGTAAATTTGTACATATTTAATTTGTATTGTACCACTAATCTTTCTGGAACATATTATTAGGTAATTGTATTGCGTATATTCTAATTGACTTCACGAATATCTTAATATTTAATTTTTATGTCTAACAATTATTGAACTTTCTATTTTTAAGTACAACCATATCAAATAAATCGATAATATTGTACTATTTAATTAGCTACAGATGAAGATTGAGTTAAAATCAGCTAAATCCTAATTCCCTCGCAATGATCCCTTTTAGCCAGGTGAACAATACAGTATTTTTTTTTTTTTTTTTATAGTTTTACATACTCGTACTTGCAATCTGTGTACTGCCAAATTTTTAATTATTTAAGATAAAATACTATTATAATTTAAAAAAATATATATATTAATACAACATTTTTTATAATCGGATATTCCTGGGAGGCAATACGGATAGAAAATATTTATTACCTAACGTGGGACGCAACTAGTACTTTTTTACCAACAATTTTACAATAAGAAATAACGGCCACCGAAGGGAATTCGGATATCCTTAGGAGGCAACTCGGATGGAAAATATTGACTACCTGGCACGGGAGGCAACTAGTAGTTTATAACCCTAGAAGTTTACTAAATAGGGATGTCATATTGTTCGTAAACTCATTCAGTTAACGACAGCAAGTAAACAATTATTGATATTTTTTTCTATCTGGAATTTTCCCATAAAACATACGTCCAACCTTTTAGTGAACAGATTTAACAAATACGTGGAAGAGTTCTTAATGAAAAAAATTGCCGTTTATCAAATATATACGACAATGTGTCGTACGTTTTCACTATATCGGACGGCATTGCTTAGCCTAAAAATTGATATGGCAACCCTGGGATGGTGACAAAGGTGCAAGGGATGAGGTCTATGAGGGTTGAGTTATGCTACGGCAGCAGTAACGCACGTGGTCGCCCAATTGTTGGGTTATGTCGTAAATTTCTACTTTTTTGACAATAAATGTTTAAGGTGTAATTAACGAAGGATAACTTGATAATATACAATATTAAAAAATGTGTACTTCACAAATTGACGAATCGTGGAGCTGTTTCAAAAAGTAAGTAGTTTGTGTTTGCGTATTGCGCTTAATATACCCATATGTGATAATTTCCAAAATACTTCGTTTAAATAAATAAAACGCAAATTTAAAAAATTAAATTGTAATAAACGTTTTTCGACTAAGCACATTATTGTCATTACAATGCTTTTATCGATATTATATATTGCAAATATCTACAGATGTATAATATACAATTCTACCATCTACAGATTCGAATCAAAGCGTTTATTTGAAAGAGATAAAATAACAATTCTTGTAGACCTCTGACCTCCTTTTCTTCAATATGCTTTGTCCCCACTGTACCGGTGTTGGTAATTATTATTTATATTTATATATATTATGTTTTTAAATTTTGTTACCTCCAGCCTGAGGTTTGCTTAAAAATAATAACCTCCTGATATTTTTTGGGATCAAGTTTAATATTACCAACTCTTAAAAGAATGGGGACAGTTTATTGTACTGGGAAATTTATAGACCTATACATTTTTAGATAAAACAAAATTTACCTGATGGGGGGCTCCAGCTGGAATGAAAACCGCATCACCGTAACACTGTACAATTGGATAGCCTTTGACTCCATAGTCTCTAAACAATCTTTCTCGAAGATTAGCATCCAAGTAATGAGATTGATCGTGGATGGGATCATGATGTTTTTTTGGATAAATTCCTTGCTCAATGGAAACTTTATTTAATAAATCTCGAATACAATCAGCATCTGACGCATGGTAAATATGCCATAAAGCACCGGGGATCTCTCCGTGTTCATACACTCGCTGTTTGGTGAAATCATCACAGCCGGCTTCTTCGATTACTTGATGCGCTTGCTCAATGTGCCAGTTATAATCTAGCTCTTTGCAATTTTTCGTAATGGAAACAAAAACCATAACATTAACTGCGTCAGATATGTCTAAATGTAAATTAGTTGTGCCCAAAAGTTTACACTTTGTACCTGCATTGCCGTAGGCCGTATACATTTTTGGACCTAAATCGGGCCGAACAAACCCTTCAGGAAGACGAGATGCTAAATTAAATTTACCATTACGGTGGGTATATTCTTTTAATGGTAAAGAATTCATTAAGTCTTGAAATCTATCCGGAAGAGTTTCGGCAAAGTCAGCCGATGGTGGCCAGTCTTTAAGTTTTAACAACATGGAACTACCCTTGTTGTCGTATAATCGTTCGGCGGCATTTTCAAAACCATCCCAAAATTTTCGCATTGGTTGATTTCGAACGAGTTTACCATTGGCACAATTGATCAAATCGTTTATGTGGTCACCAAAATCGCGAGAAAACGATTTAGGATGCCACAACGAGGGAGACAAATTTTTACCAACATCACTCACCATTACCGGTTGTCCTCGTTTCCATTGGTTCTGTAAAAAAAATCAAACACGTCCACATTATTATAAATTACATAGTGTTATAAGAACCTAGTTTGTTTTATGCTAACTAACATTACAATCACCTGAAATAGATTATAGTTGGCATTGTTCATTGGATCTAGTAAACGAAGTAAACGTCCATCGCACAGCCACATATGAGGTACATCTGTTAAATTATCAGTCAACAACGAAAGTTTTGGCATAGGTAATACTTTGGTATTTATACATTTATTGACTTGATCAACTTCATTGTTAATAAAAGGATCTCCTAAACTACATGTACTACTAACTATCTCATCTTCTTCAGTCTTATTTTGAACATAAAACGCAAAACATTTTTTGCTCAATAGTTTCTTTAGGGCTGGAGTATTTATTTCATCTTCTTCATCTGAACTACTGCACACATTGTTCATACACATATCACTAATAGAACGTAAATCGACAGGAGACGCATATATCTCTGGTTTCGGTAAACACTCGCAGTTTAAACGTATTTTATGATTGAAGCAAATGGTGTGCATGTACTTAGACATAAGATTTAACGAATCCCCAGCGAGTATTTGAGTGATGGTCAACTGATCAAGTTGATGTTCTTCTTGATCGGAACAATACAACCACATGTCTTTATCTCGTTTCCTTCTATCTCCGGCTTTTTTACAATTCGATGGGTCTGGTGATGGAACTCTGAGAAGCTTACTTTTGTAACAATCGACGCAGACCACAAAACCACATTTTCCGCAAACCCAATGATGATTGAATATTGTTGTTTTACAGACGTCGCACATCTCTCGAATTCCGTTTACATTTTTTTTCCATGCTACTCTGCGCTTTTTTCTTTTTATTGGCCAATTTAGGCGTAACGCTTCATTTTCATCTTGAACAAACTTACAAAATTGACCTCCAGCGTCTTCCAACACCTTTATAGATACTTGCACATCATAGTTTTCAGGTACATTGTTTGTATCGGGTAACCACATGTTCAACTCCAAGTTGCTGAGGTCCTTATACGGGTCTAGGTATCCAGCAACAGACAATTTACCAGTTTTTGTAAATCGTAATAAACGGAACGCATAAAATCTGCATGTAATGCTATCGTAATCACGTTTGGTCAAGTTTGTATTTGATTGATATAGACGGCATTCAATGCATTTACTTATTTTTGGCGGTAAACTCAAACACAAACAGTTTTGCAAAAAACGTTCCAAAGTAGTTTTCCATAGTAGGACATCTTCAGCTTGATCAGTAAAAATATCGGGAATGCCTAAAGCTAGTTCTTTACCAGATATTGGTTTTTGTCGTCGAAAATTTGACTTGATCAAGTTCTTGTTTTTTGGCAGTTTTTTCTTTTTATTGATACTAGAATTATCACTATCCGTTTCCCAGCTACTGCTACTGTAAGACCTTTTTGAATGTATCATTTTTCTTTTACGATTTGGGTTTGGACTATAATTGTTAGACAACGAATCGTCTTCAACTGTGTGATCCACCAAAATAATATCGTCTTTGTCAGTAGATACATCACTATTGATAGCCTTAATGCAATCACTGATCTCATCATTTAACTGTTGTGAATCTGCAGTACTGGTAATATTTTTAGTCTTTTCGCTAATATTTGATCGATCAAAACTGTTTTCAGTACCTTTTGATGTCTTTAAATTTGCATTGGACAATAAGTTATCATTTGAATATTTGTAATTAAAAACAAACACTTTCTCTTTATAGCTATTGTCTTTAGTTTTTGAGTTGCATGAATGTGAGTTGGGGTTTTGCAATACTTCATTGCGACCTTCTTTTTTTACCACAACATCGCCTGTCCAAAAATAACCAAACATGTATTATTAATTTATTCTGAAATAGCTGTTATGTTATTGTTGCAATTGATCAAAGTTGGCAAAAAAACCAAACCCAAATATCGATTATCCATTGGGTTTTCTTATTGAAGCCCAACAAATACTCGGTATTTACCCAAAAAAAACTGGGTTAAACTTTTAAAAAAAAACGCTGATTATTGTCAACTTGACATTTTTTTTTAAATATATAAAAAAATTTTTTTTTAAATTATCAAACTTACACTCGTTATTAGTATTCTGATTAATAGACAATGAAGTAACGATTGACTTATTTTGGAACTCTTCTTTAACTTGTAATCTGTCAAAATAATAACCATAAATAAATAATCATAACATTAGTATAGTCAATATCGTGTTGTTGAGCTATTCAATATCGACAAAGTGGCACTATCCGCTTTTGGCACCCACTACAAAGCACCTAGGTAATAAAACACAAGTTTTAATTATTTTAGGGAGCTGAGATTTAGTGGATCAATAAATGTGATAAATGGTAAAAAAAGAATTAGGCTAATATAAATTGTTCAAATAATTCTAATTCTATATAATTAATTTAAATTTGTTGTTTACGTCTTTATACCATGGATGAGTCGATATGAGAAGCATTCTCAGAAATTATATCAACTCATAATTTAGTTACAATAAAATAGTTGAAGCAAATACTTAGTGTAGTTATCTTGTTCAAATTTAATGATTAAAATAATAAAATATCCTAACGTAAAAATAAATCAATAATTAAATAGTTAGTGGCAGATAATATATGTTTTGCAGAGATGCGAAAACCAAACCGGGTACCCCTAGTGCCGAGGTTGAAATCACATAATACTGTGTTGCACTAATGAATGTCAAATGATACATAAGCATGCTAAGTATTCCATCAAATGCTGAATAGAAATAAATTGACATAACCATTTACTCACCCATTGGCGTATTCTAAATGGTTGCTGCAGTTTCCAATATACTCTTTTTTGACTTGAAGCATTATTTACGATATAATTAATACGATTGTAAAGCGAAAATCATTTGCTGCATAAAGTATTCAAATTATGTATTAGGTGTAATAATAAAAACGTTCTTGTTTTCACCATTTTCTATGATAGGAAATTACAATTAATATGTTATACAGTAGACGCTAGTTGATAAAATTAATATTAAAATTAAAATAAAACACACACACACATACACACTTACACGCGCGGTTAATTACATTCTCTACGAGACAGTGAAAAATCATTCATTATTTAAAAACCTAATGGCTATTAGTTAATAGAAATGTAAAATGTTTAATGTCACTAAGTTACTTATCTATTTCTTTATCAGTTCTAAATAATATTATCACGTTACTCCAACCGTAATCCAAAGGTAGGCCCGCATAAATAAGCGCAAAATGACGCTCAACGTTTAACCGTAGATAATAATAAATAATTTATTATCTATGCCCTTGTTAATTGCATTATAAAATCCAAAAACAACGATAAACAGCCGCTGTTATCGCTCCTAAAAAATTAATTTTTTGATAAAAAGTAAAATAATGTTAACGCAAAATATACCTGTAATGTGTGTATTATTATTATTTTCGCCTTGACCTCCTAAACAAGAAAAAAAGTTCTATAGTGGTTAAGTAATGTTAATTTACACTCTAAAAGCCCACAGTTGGGGATACGAACGATAATTTTCTGTTTGGACTCAGTAATACTGTACTTAAGTCATAACGAATGTACTGTTCTTCAGAAGTTTAGGCATACCTACACGAATCGTTAGCACTAGCTAAGTGACAATGGCCGGTAAAAATGTAAAAAACACAAAAGTCGAATCTGATTTAGCTGGTTGCCGTGAAGAGGGAAATTGGACGAAGATATTGGAACTTTCTGAACAATTGTCGTCTAGTAAAGGTATTTTTCGCAATTGTTGACTCGAAAAACGTATAATTAGGTTGATTTGTATGTTTGTATGAAGCAAATTACAACATTTTGAATCTAAACTATTTTTGATTATGGCAAAACCTGCCTAAAACAGAATCACAATTCCGTATTAAGCAGTTTTTTTATGTTATTCAGTAAAATATCATGCAAAAACGGCATGACGGGATCGAACACAACATTCTATATTATCTAGTTTTCCAAAATATTCAGTTAGGTTTTCCTCAGATAGGTCTTACTGCATATTATAACTGAAGTTTTTAAACTACCTAGTTTGAGTGTTTTTATTTTTCTTGAAGCGGTTTGGAACTGTATACATATAGAGATATACTGTTTCGAAAATAAAACTAGTTTAGTTTAAAAAAAGTTTGGCGCTTCTTACTTACATAGTAATCAATTTGATCAAATTAAGATTTTGTTTACCCCATATATACCAAACTTACTGTTATCATTACAGTTTCAAAGAAAATAAATAGATTGCCTTAACTCTACACTGCTTGTATAAGTTATAAGACAAGGTCATATTTATTTTATAATAATAGCCCATTTAATCTATAGCTTTTGTAGACTTTGTAGTAAAGTACAATATAACGTAATAAGTTCAACAATGTTACATAAAATAAAAATAAAAATGGTAATTTTGGCTTGGTTTTTTTATGTTGGCTATAACAAGTGTGTAGATTTTCATAACAAATATTATCCTTTTAAAATGTTTATAATATTTTCCGGCTTAATATTACATTAATAGACTTTCATGAACTATTTTGTCCGGAAACTTTTACACCTCGCCTTTAAAATATAAGTTTTAATCTAATATACAAATTTAATAATTATTACCATTAAAATTTATAGCTTTGCTGTACAACTTAATGATTGGCGAAGCCAAATTGGAAATGTTTCTAGAAGAAAACCCTCCCGTCGAAAGCAATATAGCCAAAGCATGTATTGGTCTAGTCGATGCTAAAACTTATTTAACCGATTCTATTAATGAACTTAACACACAGGTAAATTGTTAATATATTTTTTTGACAATTATATAAAATAACTAATATTTTACAGGCGGGTATGAACATCGATGGTCACATGCTTCTTGCTAAACTGTGTTATGCGTGTGGTGAGTACGAAGAGGCTATGCATCATTGTTCAGAAGCAAAATTAAATTCTGTGATTCAAACAGATTTACAAATTCGAAATATAAGAATTTTAGCCGAATCTTTTGCTGTTAAAGGTAGTTAAAAAAAAAAAAAAATGAAATAAAAAAAATTTGTGTTTATAAAAAAAAATCACACACACTAAAAGAATAATTGTATAATTCAAGGTCTTTGCCAAGAAAAATTACGACCATCATCTAGTTCTAGGTTTAAAAAAAACGAATGGCTTGAAAGCGTAATCAAAAACTATGAACAAGCCGCTAATTTGGGAATTTTATACTTACAAGAATTAGACAACAAAGAAAGTCAGTTAATGTTTCCATCGCCAATTGGCGGTGCTGCATCATCAAACGCAAACAATAACACCTTGTCTACAACTGGTACGCCATAAACTGATTGAACACAGCCTTAACAATTATTTAAATGAAAACATGATGTTTTTAAGGTTGTCATTCCCCGCAACCTGTGAATATGTCGCACACCTTAAGTATATTGGTTGAAACTGCCATTTTACGTTTGCCACTTCTACTTATAGAAAGTTCAAATTACTCTGGAGCTATATCTGCATTTAGGCAAGTGAAATATATTGGTATTAATTACATGTAATATCATTTTTTTTTTTTTTTTGCAGGAACATATTATCAGCTTGTGAAGCACACGGTACTCATTCTATTCGACTCGTCTTGACTTATCAATTTGCTGAATTTCTTCTACGTAAAGTGTCGCCTAAATATTATTCTCTTCCCACTCAAAACAGTAAGATATTTTATAATTTACTAGTATTATGTAAATAAAAAAATACATTTCCAATAGAAAAAAAAATGTAATAATTTTGTTTTAGCTCCAACCAAAAAGCAAATAATCAACATAAGAAAATCAAAAAAATACAACACGATAAATATGTTTGTACCTAGAAGTGAACATGAAGAAATAATACTACTCCTTATTATAAGGTTTTTAAAAAAAAAATTTTTACACATTTATTAATTTTCTCTTATTTGATATAATATTATCATGCTGTTTTTGTAAACAGCGAAGCAATGGCTACAAGGAATGCCGTACTTAGTCAGTCGCCTGAATTCAAGGACGCGAGAATTCGGGCGTTTAGTTTAGCCACAGCCATATACGACCTGTTAACCTTTGCACTTGTTCTCTGGGGACAGTACAATATGTTACACGAAGTAAGTTTTTTTTAGCGAAAAATATTAGCATGAAACAAAAATTCTCATGTAATTTTTCAATTGATTTGTTTAAGTCATTTGAAAGAGCGATGAAATTTTCTGCCGATGATGCTCACGTATGGATGCAACAAGCTTTGTGTCTCGAAGCCGCAGGACGCCACATTAGAGCTCTAGAAGTACTTACACTTGTCATTAACATGCAGCCGAACTCGTCTACTCCTTGTTTGCTGGCTGCTAAAATATGTTACCAACATTTATTTAAGGTGTTTTTCAGTATTTAGTTTTTTTTTCCACTCATTAAAAATAAATAAATAATGTACAAAATGATTCAATGTTGTTTTAGATGGAAGAAGGTTTAAATTGGAGTGAGGAAGCCTTAAAACGAGAGCAGCGTTATCCTCAAAATTTGCTCTCTAGGTGTCATTTATACATAGCAATCGGAGCACAATGTATGGCGGTAACTACTCTATTGAAATCTGTTAAAGACAAATATCATGCTATCTGCTTGGAATCCCTCTTAAAGTAACTATACTATATTTTAGAAATTATTATTTATTTCAAATATGAATGTGACCAACAAACATATTATTATTCTTGCGTTTATCTTTTCACCATATTGTGTTATTGTTATTTGAGAATTTTCTATTTTAGAGCCCAGCAGTTAGATAGTAATGATCATCTGGTCCATTATTATTTGGCATTTTATTATGCCTCTATAGCAAATGTGTCTGAAGCCACAGTTAAAGTGCGCCAAGCGTTGACACTCAATCCTGAACATACGCCGTCATTGCAGTTGGCCATTCTGTTACTAAGTGCCCAGAAAAAAATGAACGAAGCCAAATCTCTCCTGGAATCTTCTTTGGAAGACTTTCCTGATCACATCGGTTTGCTGTTTATCAGAGCTAAAATCGAACTGCACTCAGAAGCTTCGGAAGTAATTATAAGGGTGTTCGGCTTATAAAAACACAACATTTTTAACTATTTTATTTATAGATCGCTCTTACAACGGCTAAACATATGCTTTCTATGTGCAAAGCATCGGTTAGTAACGAAGGATCTCCTTCTATCGAGCATGCCGATACACGCAGTATTTTTCAACTTTATACCACCGAACATTCGGATAAAGATACAAGTAATTTTCATTGAAATTCTATTTAAGATAATCTAACTTTTAAATGTTTCTGTTTTTACAGATTCTTTAGGGCCTGTGCGAATAGAGCAAGCGTTATCCGAAGTTGCATCATCGATCAGTTCCTTGGTACCACAACGACCAATAGCCAATACAGTGTGGCATACACAGCAGAATGTTTGGTTACTTTTGGCCGAAATATATTTGGCTCAAGATCAATTTGACGCAGCCAACAATTGTTTACTCGAAGCTGCTAGTATTTTCCCATTATCCCATCACATTATGTACATGGTAATAATTTCTCACCTGGAACAAACGATTTACGAAATAACAAATACTTACAAATATTTTTAGAGAGGATTATTTCATGAAAAAAGGAATGAATTTAACGAAGCGAAACAATGTTATCAAAACGCAGTTACCGTTCATCCAGCACATTTAAAAAGTCTTCAGCATTTGGTATTACTTGTACTCTTTTTTTTAAAAATTTTACGAATATTTTTTATTGATGATATTATTTGTAGGGTTTGATGTACCATTATTTGGGAAGTCACAGACTCGCTGAGAAAACATTAAGAGACGCGGCAAAAATAAATCCATACTCTCCCGAAACTTGGTAAGTTACCATAACATAACCTAAGCAGTGATGTAACTAGCGGTAAATTCACCTAGAAAGCCTGGGGCGCTCCCCAAAGGCAATTGGCTGCCCATGATATAAGCAATAAAAAATAGTTTATAATATAATTATCAACTTTATATATAAATAGTGTATGCCTTTAAAACTAAAAATTATGAAAATTAATACATCAATGTTATGCCTACAAATGGATTAATCTTTAGTTATGACAAAAGATAATGGTTAAAAGTAGTCTACAGAAAATTAAAAAAAATTAAAACAATTGTTTTTTTTATACAATTTATGAAATTTTAATCATTATTGATGGAAAGAGGTTAATTACAGTTGGATAGACATTAGCCCCCCCCCCTCCTTTTAGTGTCTAGTTACGCCACTGAATATAAAAAATAATTGTTTTTTAGTATGATAATGCAATTAAATATATTATTGTAGGTACAATCTCGGTAAAGTGTTGGAAAGTTTAGGGGAAACTTCGAGTGCCACCGACAGCATGGCGACTGCTTTACAAGTCGAAATGGTTAGTCCCATAATGCAATACACAAGTATTCCATTGCCATTTGATTAATAATATTGTATTTCGTTTATAATATTAAAACTCTTAAAATCAGTAGTCATGCTTTACCTATCTAGTAAAAAAAAAAAAAGGTGGAAGGGATTACAACATTTTAATCATTATTATTATTATAATAAAGCCATGTAGTGAGCACTCGTTGGTGGACAGTATTATCTTTATAGCATTTTAAACAATTTGCATTTCTTCTTGTTTATCTTTTGTACTATACTTGTTGATTTATTTTAAATAAAGTTATTTAACTCGTTAAGTTTTTGTCATTTTGAAATACTGCAAGTGCTAGACTTGAAATTGTGTCTGTTAATCTGTGCTTTTATGATTTAAAAAAATAAAATACTATTTATTTGATAGAAAATAATAATATGTCATTTAAAAAAACTAAAACTAAACTGTGGAATTGAGGCAATTTACGGTTCGTATAAATTAAATCACTTTCGAGGTTTTTTTGAAAATCTCTTGATAAAAACTAATATCAAAACTATAACCTAGGTTCTAGATTTTCCTAAAAAACAAAAAAATAGTAACTAGAATTTTGTAAATTAACTTTTTTTTATTAGCTATGTTATTCATACAATATAATAAATTATTATTTTAAATATTAATCTAAAACTATACAATTTAATTCGTTAATAAATTAAGAAATAATGCTTATGAACTATTCACTATTATAAAACGTAAAGTCAAAAATGATTAAATAAATATTATTGTAGTATAATATAAAATAAATAAATGTTCTTGTCTTTAATTATTAATAAAATAATAACTGCAATGAATAACAATAAAGTATAATATAATTTGTGAGTACTTTTGTTTAAAAGGCAAGAATGTTATAAAAATAAACACATTATAATGGACATGAACTCATAAATATCTATTTGAAACTCATATGCATTATTCATAAAAAACATTAATCAACATCTAAATAGTTGATAAATACATTTTTAGCCTGAAAAAAATCTTCTGCTGGAGTACTTTAATCGATTAACATTGTACGTATTTAAATATTGTTGGTCTTCTTGAACACCAATATATTAAAACAATAATCGTAACATTCACACCTAAAAAAGAAAAAGCATAAAATTTAATACTGTTAACTTGATAAACAAATATGCAAGATAATAAAAATACGTTAAATAATTTATTTAAAAAAATAAATACATATAATATAATTTAATTATGTTTGATTCCAATAAAATTGGTTATTAGTACTCACTGAGTTTTTGCAGTTTTCCAATCTTTTCCCCAAACGTACATGCCGTGATTACGAACAAGAACGGCAGAAGTAGCAGGATATTTCTTTAGAGCTTGTTGAAATGTTTCGACTAAATCCCGTTCAAATTTTGAATTTTCAATGATCGGTATAATAACATCTTCGTCGTTGTTGTAAAACCGTCCTTGCTCCTCATTGTAAATACCCTAATTAACCATACATTTTTAAATAGCTATGTTTAGAAGGACGTTTGACCAACAAGTGGCTGCAGTGTGTAACGCACATTGCCACAGGCGCAAAGTAGCGAAAAATTGGTAGTTTTTTAATCATCATTATAATTTTTACTCACTTTGATCATCTCTAGGCCACTTATTCGCACCTCGTTTTCTGGGTTTAATAAACTAAGTTTAACAACGTCCGGAGAATGTGTATGAATAACTGCTCCCGCTTGCCGTTCTGAACAAAACCCCAAACAATATTATTAAAAACAATTCAATAAATTTAACTAAAATGTTATTTCTATTATTTAAAAATAACATTTACCAATATAGGAACACATGAAAATTGGGGTACATTGACTTTTAGTAAACTGCTTCTCCGGAGGTGGACATTGTACATCTTCTCCATTCACATCTTGGACGAAAAGATCTTCTGGTTCCATTCGTTCTTTTTGAACTCCAGACGGAGCAATAAATATTTGGTCTCTGTAAAAATACTTCATTGATCGTCTTCAAATAATATTATTGACTGACTACTTACTTATATTTGATGCTGATACCGCCTCCAGTACCAGTAACCCATCCATTTGAGTAAAATTGCTTACAAAGTTCCGGGATCAAAACTCGGGGATGTTCTTTTTCGTAATTTACCTAAAATATGCATTTATTATTAATAAAATTGTTTGGGTTCAAATAATGTATAAATATCATAATTATATTTTTTAGCTGTTATCATATTATAGCTCCTATATATATTTTAAAAAATACTAACTGTAGACATTTTCACGTATATTAATTCAAATATACATTTATTATTATAAATACTAAACGAATATAATTTCTAATTTGAACTTCAATCTACTATTATTGCGTTGAGGTTATTAAAACATAAGCGTACAATTAATAATGACCTAAATTAAGAACAAAAAAAAATTGATTAGGTAGTATTAAATGTTATCTTATCAATAAGCAACTGTGATGATTCTCAATTAGTAAAGAAAATGTTGTGAAATAGCCACGAGCATACCTGCCTTATCAGTCGTGAATTTCAAATTTGTATTAAAGCACTTTACCAATAAAAAAGTACTAGAGATAATCAGAAAAAATAAGTTTGAAGGGTATCTTTTATACATGAGTAATCCTTACCTTTACTATATAATTTTTGTTGTCATATTTGTTTTCGAGTTTTGGTTCTATTTTCGGTGAAGTTTTAATCGTATATCTAGTAGAAAGCACAACCTGTTTCAACAATAATGTTTTTGCATTAACTATCAATTTGTCAATTTTTTTTTAACATTAATAATTACGATCCATCTGTTATCTATCTGTACAAACACGGTCAAGTGCTCGTACCAACAGACATAATTTTTAATCAAAACAAAATACCTTAGTAGAACTGCTATTAGGTTTAGGATTCACTTTGTCCTCACGCTAAAAAAAGACAAAATAATCATAAATTAGCTATAGAAAAAAAATGTTTTAAGTACATCAATCTACCTAAATAGTAAAACTAAGATGAAACATTATCAGCTACAATAGAAAATTTATTGAATTATATTATTGGAGTATTATAATGTTTACTTTTAATTTCTCTGTCAGTCCCAAATTACTTTTAGGCAAAAGATTATTTACAAAGAACGCTGTTATTCTTTCTTCTCTGTAACAAATACATAATTTTGTTTATTAATTGATTATCATTTTAATAAACAGTTATAATATCACTAATAAAAAGCAGACTTAAATATATAGGTTAGGTAATTCAAATTGTGGCATTTACTTGTAAAAGAATATAATTGTGTTGTTTTTTTTCAACATTTGTTTAATCACACAACAAGTTTTTAAAATAAAGACCGGATGAAAGTGACATTAAACTTTGTGAGGAAAGTAGCACAGTACGAATAAAAAAATTTGTTCATGTTACCAAATTGAACGAAATTGTACTTAAACGAATGTCTGTTTAAAAAAAAACATATTCAGTATATAGTTTTACAAGGTTTTCTATATATTATAAACCATCTTACTTGCTCATAGTTGCCAAATATTCAGCTTCGTCTACGGCGTTGTTCCATTTTAGTTTAAGTTTACTACGGACTATTTGACTCTAAACATTAAATAAATAAACAATAATAATGTGAGTAGGTATATCTGTTTCACAAAAAAAAAACATATTAAAAAAATGATCTTACATTTAACTTTGGATATTTGGTTAAAATTTTTTTTCTTCCACCAAATTCGAAAATTTGAGATTTTTTTATCCAACTTCTTTTTTGCATATCATTGCAAAAGTATAAATGAAACATAAGTGAATCATCATCTCCTAAAAACAATTACTTGTATAAGTATACACTTATATTAAAATTTAAAAAAAAATAAAACTTGTTCCGTTTTAGATAGTTGTACATTTTTGAATAAGGAAAATTGAATTTACTTGCCTTTAAAGTATATATTGGAATCTGGATCATGAGTAACAATTCCAGGCCATACAGGAAATTTACCCATTTTTGCCCAAACGATATCACCGATTTCATAATCGATTATATAGGTACTACTATTTGCTTTCAAAGTACCATTATTTGTCGATTCGGATATAGGCTTATTTTTTTTTTCTAATTGGCCAACATTAATTGTACCATTTTCATAAGTTAAATATTCGTCACTGAATTTTCGTTTGCTCGATACTCGACCAAATCGACTTTTGTGAAGCTGATCAATTGAATTGTCCATTTTAATCCTACAAAATTTAATGTTTTATATATATATGTGTGTGTGTGTGTATAAAACTATACGAAAATACTTCCTACATGAAAGCCTAATAACCCTACTTGCCGACAAACCTAATTAGAATTTTTAACGGTTAAGTTTTAACCGCAAATAAATGATTATTTGTTATAAAAAAATACAAGTCTTTCATCATAATTTTAAAAAATTATTAAATTTATTTTTAGAAACATATATAAGTATAACATTTTATATAGATATTATTAGATGATATGATTATAAATGGTCTCTATTAGAGGCGTAACTATTACAGCTTATCAGTTTTTATTGTGGACAGGTTATAGCCATCAGCTAAAAGTATCTATGTATGGCATCAAAAGTACATAGTATTGTGTTTATAAATACTACAACGATAATGACAAGATTAGTGAACTAATAAAGGGCTAAATATAATACTGAAAAAATTGTCAACCTTGATAAAATACTATAATGAATTAGATTATTTGAAGTAACATATTGTACTCAAAATATGTATGTCTTAATAAATAATATTACATTACATCATTAAAATTAAAATTAAAATACTTTTAAAATTGTGCAAGTTGTACATTTTTTTTTAGAACTAGAAAGTCGTTTATTATTCATGTACAATTCATGAACAATAAATTAATCTAAATGAAAAACACAAGTAAATGTACTTTCAAAACAAGGATTAGAAATGCCACATTGAATTAAACAAATTTAAATGTAGTATATACAAACCCATTACTCATTGAATTATACGTTTCATTTATATTTATAAAAATATTAATATTACTTAAATATTATATATTAATTAGAATTATGAACTTATAAAATAAAAATTGTTTATACTTACGTTTTAAAAAAAAATCAAACAATTCTTAGATCATTGGTAATTTTACGGACATCAACAAATAATGCATGCTAATTACACAGACTATGAAGATTTGCTAAAGAAACTCCAAATTCGAAAACGGAAAAATCAAAACTGTTAGCGTCAGTATTTTTACTATTTCAGTTTTCACTTTTCTAAATTCTACTGTTTCTCATAGGATTTATAAACATAAATACTTGTCCCGTAATAACTGATGAGTAATCTAACTGATAAAAGATTAGCGATAACTGCAGTTTGGACTTAAATTGGGTTCCCTGTTCCCTACTGTCATTTACTAACATCTTAATTATATAACATCATACAAACATCTTGATCATCATTTATCTGTAATCGTGTTTACTAATAATATTACAAGGCAGTTGGGATAGACTTAACTAAATTACAAATAGTCAAACATATTGACAATAAAACCTATCCGTAAAATGTGTTTAAACATAAAACCACGGACTTATTGAACATGGGAATGTAAAGCTGAAAACGACACGTGAGGTGGATTGAAGATTTGCAAATTGTATAGTAGACAGTAGACACTGTTTTTCGAGATTATTGAGTATGGATAATATTTTATTGGCGGTCTGGAAGTATTGCAATAGCAACAGTAACTATTTTGTTTCAGATATTCAAGCTTAACTTACAACACTTGCCGGCTGCCGCTACTCGCTAGTAACGCTGCAGTTTATATTTTTTTACTTAATAATATAATATCCTGTCTTCGTAAATTACAAGTTACAACCTGTAAACAGATTACACACTACACAGTATACAGAGTCCACAGGTCAAAACACTCTTGATAAAATACATTTTGGACAAGGGGATCAGATAAATAGAGCTGCAGAGTAGACGCTGGACGGTCATTCAAGACATTCTAGCATACTGACTACTGCTTATTGAGAACCACTGAATCCTATCAAGGGTTTTTAAATGTTTGCTTATAGCTCTTATTGTGAAACATTATAGTTTAAAAGTTACAATGCGATTGCAATATTACGATTATAAACATTATTAGTTGTTATATATTTTGATCGCCCTTAGGGAAATTCAATTACTTCCAGAATTTTAAATACAGATAATTGTAAATCTGAACCTAGGGGCCTATAGGACCAAAGGAATTTTTTTTACTTTTCCGATAACTGTATATTATTTACTAAGTGTAACATATTTAAAAAGTTAGGCTTGAGTTAATAGCGAATTAGATACAGCGTAGTTATAGCATGTTTTTTCAGTTGCTGATTTTTCAATGAATTTTCAGCATGAACTCTCAAAAGCTCAAATGAAATTAAAAATCATGCAGTTGTTAACGATATTAGACTAATTTTTTGTACAAACAACTGACGTACGTTATAGAATTGAGAAAGACGAAAGTATTGGTTTCACTTTAATTATTTTATGTATGTGTGTTAAATATATATTTTTTCAAGTCTAAATTTTTACGATACGTGGTAGGATAATATGAAACAATGAGTATATTTTTCAGACAGATAATATACATAGGTAGATCAGGTACATTATAATTTAATAATCGATTATAACAACATTTTACATAATATGTTATGTGTAATATAATATGTTACCTTTACAGAAAAAAATATTTATTTTATGAAATAATTCCTATTATTTGTAAGGACTAAGGATGGCTTTTTACCTGACTTATTGTTAATAATAAGAAGGCGGTCAGCCGTTAGTCGTGAGTGTGATCCACTCACCACAATGCACGGTTCACCGTAACAAGCCCAAAGTGTAATAAGTTAAAATAAAACAACACGTCATTATATTTATTATTACTTTGATTTAATTTTATTCAATAAAACAAAACCTAGTAATATATAATGTTACGCACGAGTGCCAATGATTTTCATCTAGTAAATAACATGGTATTATATTAATAAATTAACAATTGATAAACTACTTTTTATTGGGTAACTTTATGTGCTCCAGGTTTAAATATAGATATCAATTACGAATAAAACGTTTTCTATTTTGGATGTTAAACCAAAAAAATATTTTAATAATTGGGTAATATCATTGATTTTAAAGTCAAATATAGATATTAAACATGTTATGATATAAATCGTGAAATACCAATGCATTACGTATAAAACGTATAGGTAGGTATTGACTACTGCTATTGTTGTATGTGTACGCAGTATGTTTGTTAAAATTTTATGCCAGCCGTTTGGGTTAGAAAAATTTAAACACGGACCAGAATTCAAAGAAGGGCGCAACTAGGGTGGGTGTTCATTTCAAGGGGAAGGGGGCCGTTTCGTTACTTTCGGTTACCTATAAAGCATATTTGTTGAAATCCACCCGAATATTGTATAACATTGAGTTGGCATAGTCTGGTTAGTGTATTTTTGAGCTCCTACCAGCATCCATTAAATTAACCTAAAATAATATTATAGATGGCCAAACGTAGCTATATAGATGTATATAAAATACCGAAGCTACTTTGGTCCCCGCCTCCAGGAGCGAACTCGTGTGAAAAAAAATGAAATTGAACATAACATGATACACATGGTTATTAGCACTTGGCCAGTAATTCTTCAGCTAAATGTGTGTGTATTTTTTTTTTTTTTAGTGGGAGACGGGACAAACAGGCTCTGGGGAGGCATGTCAGATGCCGTTATCCGATTGGGTAATCGCTTGTGGGACAAGGATAAAGAAACAATATTAACGATTAACGGTCGACGGACCAAGCCAAGCACCGAAAAGCCATGGAAGAAAGAAACTACCGCGTAAGCAGGAAATTCAAAAACCGACCAATCGGATGCTCGGACGCAGCGTCATCAGTGTAAACACAATATTGTTTAAAAGGTTCGCCACCACTTACGGTGTTTTGATGATAAACAGTTGAAATTCCCTCGTTTTCGTTTAGCGCGTTTTTATAATTTACTGACTCCAACGATCCCGCTCGAATCAAAAACTTAAGATTGTTGATTGCATTCAAACCGTACAAATAACAGGTAAGCAAATTAATCAATAATAATGTTATATTTTAATTTCACGCCAACGGTGCTGCGTTGTTGTAATTATTCGTTGTTGAACGTTATAACATAGAAAAACATAATAGGGGCTAAATCACAGCGTCCTCGTTCCCTAGCCGTTAGGGTAAATAGTGAGCATACCTACCCGTGTAACATGTACTTCATAATTACTATAAACCGCTACCATACGAATTCACGCGACTTGCTTATATTTTTCTATAATTATATTTTAATATTTGATAATAATTTCCTATAGACAAAATATTTCCTGTGCTTGTCCATATTTGTGTTATAAAACCGCGTCTCCACTCCCCTCGATTCTTGCAAATGGCCGGTTTTGGCTGTTACCTATACATCAGTTTTTACTGTTTCTAAAACAATTTGTTGTGTTAAAGTAAATTATGAATTAAAAAATGACTAATAAAGAAAAAGTAATTACATAATATAGAATATATAGAGTGACCAGATGTATAAAATAAAAAAAAATTCAGGAAATTTCTACAATACACAACCAGTATATATAATATTAAATGTTTACCTGTTTAGAGCATTTTCGCTTATTTAAAAATTAAATTTACACATGTATCCATCAAAATACTTTTTTTTTTACACTGGTTATACTATTAAGGAAAAAAAAAAATAACTGTACAATTACAAATTTTTTTCTTTGTATAATAAATGTTTTTTTTAAATTTTAAATGAGAGAAAACAACCACATTTAACATATACAGAAAAAAAAAGTTCAAAATTTATAATTTTACAGATTGAATTACATCTATTATATTTTTTTATATTATAATATCTCTGAATACAAGTTACCACAAAAATAATTAAAAAAAAGTATATTATGTGAAAGTAAAGGATACATTTTGAATTTTTTTTAAATGCAGCCGGATACAGTCTAATAAGTAATAAGTTTCATATTTGTAGAACCTACAAAAAACACATTCTCTGTATTTCTGTTAATTAAACCTAAGAATCATGGTAGGGTTATAAGGTAAACCAACATTTTTTTTTACCCATCCTAAAATTAAAATTTGATTCTAGTGATAGAACGGTAAATATTATATACCTAGGCGTGAAAGTGTTTTTTTCATCTCTTAATAATTAAAGTAATCAAGACAATTTATTTTATTCCTATTCATAAATTGAAGTATTGATATTTAAAAACAATACTGTAATTTTAATATACAATATTTTACGTTAATCTCAATGTTAAACTTGTTTCATTTATTTACATATAATAATACATTTAATTGTTATTTTAGGTGACAATGTTGACTAGAAGGTCGCGAAGAGAAGCTGTTGATTCTCCGTCAGATTCAACTACAGGTAGTAGAGTTGTTTCTCCAAAGTCGAAGACTAAAAAAGACAGTAAAAGCAAGTCTCCATCAAAATACAAAAAGGTTACTCCTACACGCAGTAAAAGTAAATCTGTCGAAAGAAAAATTCGGCCACGATCAAGATCTGCAGCTAAGAAGGTTCCAAAATTGGTGTTGGAAAAAATTGACATTAGCGAACAAAAAGCTTCATCCAGGCCTAAAAGTAAAAATAACTAATTACATTTTTATCTTTAATAATTATTAATAATTTTAATATAACCATAATTATTAATAGGAAACAAGTCGGTCGAGTCGCCAACGTTTAAGAAGAGTCCTACTCCCTCAAAAACTCATAATAATTCGAGACAAAGCGAAAGCCCATTCAAATCTAATGATATCACGGTATTTAATTGTATAAATTAAATTTTTTTTAGAAATTTAAATTTTTTAATTTTTGTTTTTAGACATCTGGTTTACGTTCAAGACTGATTCTTGATAAAACCATACCTCAACAACAGCCATCAAATATTGCTCAAAAATCAAAAACTACTCAAAGTACTACAGGCAAACTTGTGCTACAAACTGTGTTGGCTCTTCTCTTTATAGCAATCGTAGGATTAGCGAAAATAGCTGTTGAAACTGTGAGTGAAGAATTTTTTTAAACAACACTAAGAATACATAGTTAAGATATTGACAATGTGTTGTATTTTTTAGAAAGGAAATTTAATTCCTTTTCCTCGAGGGTACTTAAAATTAGCAAACTATTACAATGAACAAGTATTTATAGCGTCTACGGCTATTGTGCTCGTTCATTTTGTAATTGCTTCTGTGCCGTTGTTTTGGAAAACTAACAGTCTCGGTGAATCTGAACCAAGATCATATAGATTCTCAGGTTTGTATGAAGTTTATTTAGTATTTTCCATAACGACTAATATTGAATTTATTTTAAAGGTTTCATCAACTTGCTCCTTGTAGCTGGAATTGTCGTAGCAATGGTTTATACGAAGTGTCCCATAATCAGCGTTTTAAAAACAATTACAATAAGAACCGTGCCTAATGTTGTTGTATCAACATTTTGTGCTTTGTTTTTATCGATCGTGTTGACTGTGAAATCCAAGTTCATAAATCGAGCTGTAGATTACAAAGGTTTTTATTATACACTATTAAATGGTACAAACAACAACAATACTTTAGGACCAATCAATGTGAAATTGACGCTTTACAGATATTCTGCCTTAATGACTGTAAGTTATCCGGCAATGTTATATTATTCCTGAAGAATTTATTATTTTTTTTGTTGCAACTTGCAGATTTTATACAATGGCTTTGTTCTTTTGAACTCTGGTCAAAATTCTGAAAATCTATATCTTTTGGCCGGAGCTCAAATATTTATCTCGGTTGACAAGTTGCTGTTCGAGTACCATTTGTTGTCGTCGTACTATTTGCAAAGAGAAAATGTAGGATTTTTGACAGTCTTGCAATACTTTTTACTACCAGCTATCAATTTCTTGCCGATACAAATTGTACTGGCAAATCCTACGTAAGTATTGCTAGTTTCCCTTGCAAGTATTATTGAAAAAAATGTTTTAATAATTGTATTTTATTTATAGTCCTGTTAATTACATCGTTCTTGGATTTACTGCTGTTGGTTTTTTGGTTGGATATTTAATTCAACGTGACAGTGATCGCATCAAGTACAAGTACAAAAGTAACACTGAACTCGCAAGAAATCCTTCTGGTAAGTGGAATAATAAATTTAAAATTTACAATATTTATTATTAATTATTTTCTTTATTTTTTATTTTAAGAACGAAACAATGTTTTGTTTGTAAACGGAAGAAAAATAATTGTTGGTAGATGTCGATCTTTTGTACGGTTTCCAAACTATTTGGGTACTATATTGGCTCATTTGTCCCTCACTCTCGGTCTTATTTCGATGGATCTGACATTGAATAGATTGCAAGTGGTTTGGCCCGTGTTCTTGTATTCAACGTACTACATTTTGACACTAGGATACAGAAGTAAACGAGTTGTGGACTATTGTAAATCTCAATATGGATACTTGTGGGAAAATGAGTATGCTACAAAATCTAATTTAGTTCCAAAAATATTTTAATTAATAATTTTTTATTCCATTGACATATACAAATATTGGTAATTTATGACATTTATTGATATTGCTCTGCCATTTGTATACTTAAGATAGGTCAAATATTTATTTACATTAATTTCGAACAATTTCAAAAAAATGATTGTCATTTTATATTTTCTTTCTTTTTTTCTATTGTTTTGACTTTTTAAGAATTAAGTCATACCATTTGTCCCTTATTTTAATTTAATTTAATATTTTTTTTTTATTATTTACAATGATTGTTTACCACCTTAGGTTAATGTCTTGTATAATTTAGGTACATGTAAATACAGATCTCCTTCTACTTAGTTATACTAATGTAATTGTATTGTTCTATGTAAATTTTAATTTGCATATAAATTACAAAATTATTTTTGCAAGCCATATATGTATAATTCAGCTTAGAAAATAATTGATGATTGTAAATAAGAAAAATATATTACACAAATTTACAATATATATAATATGTATATGTTATATATTAAGATATTCGAATATTTGTAAATATAGAATTAAAACTTAATTAATTTCTTAGAAATAACATATATATGAGCATGTTATAGTTTATTCATTTCAAAACCTAAGGAATAAGTTGCAATGCACAAATATTTTTTCTTTCAGTCAAAAATGTTTTGTAAGTATATAAATACATGTAATTTCTTCCTTAGTGTTGAATTATTTATTTTGCGTTTTCCAACTACTTAAGAAGCAAACCTAGTGCCATAATGACTGACACTCTTTTAAATAAAATATATTTCATATTTAAAAGGAAAATAATTATATTATTGGTGTTGACAGCATGCTTAACATACATTTCTGACAATTTCACATTCCTATTTTGTTGATTACCTATTTTATTTATATTAGTATCATATGTTTGTCTTTATGTAAATTATAAAATAATTGGTAGATATTATTATATTCAATCTTGGTAGAAGGTTTAACTGATGCAAGATGTTTGACGCACTAAAATGGAGTACAATCTTTCGTTTTACCAAATATAACGGGTTTTATGATTCACCGCTATTGGAAAATTGATTGTAGAATGATTGTCCCAATATATTAAAGTTAGTACCTCAGTGGACACATTTCTGCTTTAAATCATAAAATGTATGTATAACCATATTTGCAATAAAATACAATATATTATTTATTTAAAGACTCAATAATAAACATAAATCTTCATTATACGAAAAGTTATAATTACTACAATACATATATTATATACATATATATTAACAAATATTATAGTAAAATACAATAAATATAAAACATAATGGTAGGTAGGCAATGAAAATAAAAAGGGTTAACCAGTCTTTCGAGTTATTTCCACTAATACTTATATTTTACTGTTACTCCAATTCCTCAAGTTTGCAATAATAAATTATACAAATAAGGGTACCTAGTAATCAATATTTTTATGATAAGTGCCACAACGACCAAAAACCGGAGTTGTAATAATAGAGATATAATATTATGAACTTAAACATAATTTTTTTGGAGGATCCGTTCCTACACTTGTAACATGCCAATCAATGTTTAGGTATAAGATATATTGTAATTGTCGTGGGGTTTGAAAATAATTAAAAATATTGATACAAAAGTAAGTTAGTTTATTTTATGATCATTAAAATGTACATTACTGAATTATTTTTAAATGCCATATATTAAGTAAATTAGCGTTCACTTGTTTGCATAATTTTGTTTACAAATTATACTTTTTGTTTTTACTTATGTTAGGTTGATTAAGTATTATAACCATCTAAAATTTAAATTATCATATCATGTCTTCAGATTGAGCGCCCTCTGTAAATTGTACTTAAATGAGTATTGCTTAGACTTATTCTGTATACATAAATCGTACATAGGTACACATGATATAAACACACTACATAAGTGACCCTTGAGACTTGGCTAACAATTTTCAAGTGACACGCATTAACTGTGCAACAGGTTTACTGTTACCTAATCTTTATTAATGTAAGAATTGAAAACTGGAAACAATTATATTTGTAAATATTCATAGGGGTATGAAAATTCCTTTTTTTGTGAGGCGAGTGTCGCCTACTTGTGTGTATTACCAGATGAATAATAACCTAATTTTGGCCATAACTTTGAGTATAATATTGTTTACTTTTTGATAAATATTGCGTATCTAAACAGAAAAACATGTTCCTAGTTTTTACTTAAACAAATTAAAAAAAAAAAAACACCACTTTACCACTGGGAACAACATTTCTCTGGATAAACGAAAATTGTCTTAACGGTACACTTTAAGTACCGGTATATTGTATGTAATTGTGTATACAAATTTACTCAATTCTAGCCTGGCAATACAACAATAGTGTCATATTTAGTCGTTATCATAACTAATTATTATCGGGTAACATTTTTTTTTTTTTTTTACAACAAAAACGATTCAATTTTTTTGCTTGACAACACACTTCAATTGATATGAGTCGATAGCCAGTTGGCTGTTAATAATGACGTATCACCTTGGCCGTGATATTATGAGCGTAAGTGTTGTTGATGTTCAGTAGATTCTGCTCTATAACGTACGTCTCCATTTTGTGGTATTCGCTGTTGTACACGCTGATGGGATAGTCACTCTCGTAGTGTAGTATCTTGTCCAACAAATATGCGAAAATACTACCCATCGTCGTTCCAGCTATGTACGAAAACGTCATGATGTTGCCTAAACAATGTTTCAACCGATACACGGTTGATTAGTTCGTTAACATACAAACGTATGACATGTGTGTGTATTGCATCCACTCGGCAAAACAGTTCTTTTCGTCGACTGTAATTTCCAGATTACAAAAATTCATTGAAACTCATTAGCGAGGAGGTTATAGGGTACATCAACACTTATTGACGTAGTGAACTCGTTTTAGTATTGGAGACAGAGAGAGTGAGAGTCAGCATAGTTGAGGAAATAAAAGTATTTGTAAGACCACATGAAGGTCAGTGTTGAGCATTGATGAATAAGATGACGAAATAGATGTGTGACTTTCTTTTGCTCCAGACTGACTTTTAAATTAAAGGCTTTACCTAACGTCTAGCGTTGACTTGCCCCATGGTATCTCCTTATCATGTCATCTTCCTCAATATCCTAAAACCGCCCCTTTTCAGCCAATTTTAAAGTCCCCTTGATTTTATCTACTATTCTAGTCCTTTGTACCGTTAATACTGACTCTTCGTCCCTGGTTTCCAAAGTTTGGTTGGTTTGTGCAGAGAAAATAATCGGTTTTTAATTTTTTTCTATTTTACCATTGTAACCTAAACTAACCTATCTAATATACGTTAAATGTTTTTAGTTTTCTTAGTATCTTGTCAGTTTGGGATAGTCCCGTTTAAAATGAACTAAAAACAAAATACAATTTACCTACCTATCGCTTTTTCACTGCAGTTTTACAAGATTATTCGCAAAATCTAACCAAGGTCCACTGGTGAATTTATAATCTGGACATTTAATTGACGAAAAGATCTGTTTCACTAATTATAAGTGGATGCGACATGTATTATTCTTTTTTAATATCTAAAAATAATACTGAATTTCACTATAACCTGCATATTACAAATTATCAAAAATAATACTCATAGGTAGTTATAGAGGTGAGAGTGCATGAATTAGTTTGTTCAAATGTAGATATTAAAACATGATACAATAAGTATGTCGTTTAAAAAATGTAAATATTAAAAAAAACAAAACTGTCTGCGGCCATATTATTGCTTGAACTCTTTAAATAAATTACGTTTATAATATTGATAGACTAAATACGTTTCTAAAAAAAGTTTTTATCTAATAGTACTAAAGTACATTTTTTTTGTTAACTGATTGTGAGGGTATTGGTATATATATATATATATATATATATATATAATATGTCGAAACATTTTCAGATTTAGACTTTGTTAAATTAAATTTTAGATATATTAACAGGCATAACATACTCTAATCCAAACAACAATTAAAACAATCTTTCGCAGGACAGTGTTAAGTTTTGAAAAAATATTCCAATCGTACTATAAAAATTCGACTATTTTCAATAATTTTTCATAAAAGTTTAGACAGTCTCATATTTTGAGCTGGTGACACCTATTTCAGACATCGTTATGTCTTTTTGCTGTGGGGGGGTCTATCGATGATTTGCGTGACAAAAAGGGGATAGAGTGAAAGGGGGGGGGACAGGGATGAGATGACTATGAGAGTGGAAGATGTGAGGATGGGGTGGCGATAGGGGGAAATTGATAATTTCTGTATAATTGATAAGAGATGAACGACGACGATCTATAGTCTTTTCTACGAGAGAAAAATTGAATTTTACCTGAGAGTTCACGACGCTCATTGTTGACTTTAGCCGGAGCAAATATCATGGGCACACTGCCCGTGATGCCGTTGGACAAGCCAAGTGCTGCCGTTTCCAAGAAAATCAAAAACTCGCTAAAGATTTTCGTGTGGAACGGGTGCTGCACGAACACTATGAGCAAGATGGCTGGGATCATGAGGAGACGCACCTTGGTGACTTTAAGTATTTTATCGTCCCAATTCTCATATGCATGAGCACTCAGTATCTGAAAACATTTGAAACTATCTATAGCAATATGTTTCTAATCGACTACCAAGTAACGGGAATTAATGGAATTAATGTACCCTCTTCTGACATTGTTTCCTTATTTCTTTCCTCCGTGCACACTTATCATTCAGAATTATAAATAACATATTTACACAAGTACAATATTATGAAACGATAAACCGGTAAAGTGGTATACTTTCAGCAAGTTACATTCGCAAATAAACAAACTATTGGTCCTTCTCGTCAGACTCTATTTTGAGTATTCTCATTGTTACAAAATCTGGTGTCGTACAAAACTGAGCATACACTAATTATTGATGTAATCGAGAAAGTCTGTCGTACCTTCCCCAAAAGATCAAACAAGTTGAACACTGTCATCACCAGCACAGGCATCCAAGTGCCGAATCTGGGACTGATCAAGTCCGTCAAAACGCCCGGATAAATACTCAGGGTGACAAAGTAACATAGGAAAATGGCCAACATTTGTTTCCATATAAGCTTGGATACTTCGAAACGCAATAAATAACCGTCTGAAAGAAATATGCACATTGTAGGTACACACGTGTTATCAACGCTCAATGAAGAGTGTCAGACTTACTTTTGAACTTTGTCCACATATTAGAAAAAGTGGATTTTCGCAGTTTGAACGAGTGAGTTTCGATGTGAACCATGACGTCTTCGACTTTGTACGTTGGAACATTAGCATTTGGATCGTACGCGGGATTTGCAAAGCTTAACGCGTTGTCTTCTTTCGGAAATACATTTTTCCCAATACTCAGACTGGTCTCGGCGAACAGCGATTCCGGTTGGTTTTGTTCAGCGTTTGCCTGAAAAATAATAATGAAATAACAATTGCTTTTCTCGTTGTACATTTTCAGTAACGATGAGAGAATATTTAGTTCTATGCTTACATATTCTTCGGTAGGTTCCAGGGATATTCTTTTTTTCGATTCTTCGTTACGGGCCATATAAAACTTAATGAAGTCTGTAGTCTGTACGATTTGGAAGAAAACCCACGACAACATTACCACGCCGTGGCTGAATAGGAAAAAACAAAACGTGCTTAACTGTAAGTCATCGGTCAACATCTTCGTGGTGATTCGGTCGAGGGACACCCACAGGCCAGCGGCACCTAGAAAATTAAAAAATATAGTAGGTATGTGAACGCCAATTTATGACATTTTCAAGGCTTGAAAATACTAGGTAGAAGACTTGACGATTGTCTGGTGTGTTTATTTTAAATAATATATTATTTACAAAGCTTAAAGCTATATATATATATTATTGCAGTTACGAACTTTCTCCAATCATGACAGCTTGAGTGTACTGGACGGGCAGTATGCTCGTATATCCATAAAAACTGGACTGTTGAACTGTGTGGCAGAAATAAAAAAAAATAACATGGTTATAATTTTGGGAACAAAATAAAAAACCAACTTAAATTTTTAATTGAAAAAAATAAACGCTTACTTGTTGCGCCCCAGGCGATGATTGCGATGGCCACCAAGTTAATGTAGTAAGATGTGTTCAATGAGAACATTTCCGACCAAAGTATTTCAACGGCGCCAACGAACAACAGTGTAGTAGTGGTCAAGGCATAACCTGAAAGTTTTAATTACTCTTATTTTAAGGATCTTGCCAATGGTATTCGAGATTGGTTTGACGGTCAATTAAAATCTATGTAAGTATTATATAACTTACCGATATTGATGCGACATTTAAAAGATAACGTGTCGACCAGTAGGTTGTTGGTGAGCACGGCAAAGAACGCCATAATAATATAGACCAACGTCATGTCGAAAATCACCATCGACGATGGATATTTAATTTGAAAATAATCCACAGCCATGACAAAACTAAAATCGACAAAAAAAGTCACTTATTTATAGTATTAAGTACCTGTTTAAGTATGTAAGTGAAAGTGCGGCCAATCAAAGGTTATACATATTAAAATTGTTCGATACCAGAAAATGTTTTTAAAATTATTATCAAAGTAACTGCAAATTGTATTTTAAACGCGAATCTAATAGTTTACTAAGCTCTGCGAATAGAGTGTATTCAATTAGGATAATTTTAGTGTTACGTCCAGTTAATACAATATACATCTTTAAGTTTTTTTGTTTATTTTAAAGGCCCCCAAACTCTAAGTGCCCAAGGGCCTCTACATAGCCTAAGACGGCCCTGGTTACGCCTATACTCACAAGTAAAAATCGTGTTGACGGGGCTTATAGACTTTTGAGTAGGTTTAGAGTGAAGACAGCTATAATTAAACTCGAAGAATATAATATTTTGGAGAGCTGTACGTTGGCGAATTTTTTAAATTCTATTTAGTAATGAGAGTTGTATTCAAAATCGGTATTATGGCCGCTATGATAATTTGATCGCCATTGCTGTATTAATTAATACATATACACTTAAGTTTTAGTTTAAACTAAGGTTTGGCAAACAATGTCCTACACCGAACCCTTCCAAAAAAAAGGACAGTAGCGTCTTATTAACCTGAAAAAAATGCATGTGTTTGCATTTTGCACTAAAATTCTAACGGGCCGGGCGTTCGAACACATGTTTACTTGACGTCTATGATTGGGACATGACCTAAGCTAACCTAACTTAATGCGGGCATATGGTTTTCAGAATGGTGTGTAATAAAATGATTCGTTTTTAAGAGGGGAAGTGTTGATAAATAGTTTATGTGAAGAAAACTAGGAAAAAGACCGATTGCGGTTCTCCTGGTATACTATGATATAGTTGGTATAGTTTGTTCGTACCGTGAGTGTCTTGGGCACACGTCTACTATTAAATTTACCTACACATGTTATTTTTGATTTGTTTACAATGGTATTATCGAATCAATCTAAAACCCGCCATTACACGCCAAACGGACCGTTTGAATCGACCAATTCGATTTGAGCGTAGGTACCGCGTACCTTTACCATTACTGTGGGTAATGATTTTTTTTTTTTTAATTTAATTTCAAGTACTATCAGCTCATTGTATTGTAGTAGGGCAATGGTAGGTAGGTAGGTACCTGTTGTAGGGAAACAGAAATCCGGCGCCGGCCAGCGTCATGGCGAAGAAAATACGGTCCTTGTGATCGACGGGAGGTCTGGGCTCCCTTCCGACATTGACTCGTTTGCCCAGGGCCACGTACCCTCTGCTCAAGTTTTCGTCCATCTCTCTCTGTTGGCAAAACGCTACGCCTTGCTTGTCAATGTTCGCGAACAAAAATCAACAGCCAAACGACATGGTTTATTATTATTATTATTATTATTATTACTATAATCGCACGCACACCAGCACGTCTGTCAGCGGCGACAACAACAACAATGTTGACTTGCGTACCGTGTGCTCTGTTGGCCGTGGCTTATACACCGCGCATGAACCGTTTGGACGCGGCAGATCGATGCAACGCTAAACCGTTGTGACGGCGGACAGGGGGACGACATAAATAAAATAAACCCCAAAAATATATCCATCGGGTATTATCCGATTAGACTTGACTAAGTACAGAGTTGTCCAAATGTTTTCACGTTACAGTGATTTTTTCAATGAAACCATATATTAAATCGGTGCCTCAGTTTAAAACTGCAACAACTCGAAAAATTTCAAAAATATGTATTGAGTATTTTTTTTTTTGTCGATGAATAGGTAAAACATAAAAATTAATGTATTGTTAAGTTTTAACAGTATAGTTAAAAAATTGCGTCCCAATTTAGGTTTTTTTCTTTAAAAAAAAATATATATATATATACAATATACAGTAATTATATTTTGTTTAATTTTATATTTATTGAAATTTCAAAAAAAAAAAGTAATTTTACTGTCAGTGGTTTATCAATATAATATTTTATATTTAAAAATATTTAAAATGTATTCCAAATACTTTTGAAAAGTATTTGAGCTGGCCCAGACTGAGAAGGTTACTGTTCTAGGCAAGCACGCATCTTGCAATGTGTGCTTGTAAAAATACAGGTTTATAATATTTTAATAATTCTACGATGTTTAAAATGGGATAGTACAAATTTCAACTTAGTTTTAAACTCAAAAATTACTTTATAGTAATTACAAAATACGTAGTATCCAGTACAATCAGCATAGTATTTTTTTAAATGTTTCAAATATAAAAATAGATAGCTATACTCATTGTCAACTTTGTAACGTAGTTATCTAAAAATATATCATTAGGGAGTATAAAATTCTGTAAGATAGTTGACAATTTCTTTAGGATTATTCATAAAAAATATTTTTTTACTACTCGGTCCGATTTAGTTTGATTAAAAAAACCATTATTAATAAATAAACATTTTTTTTTATCGTTTTGTTACAATATATATTCTTATTATTTTTTCGTCCTTATTATTGAAATGAAGGTGATCGAGAGAAATTGTAATTTCTTTTTTGTAAGTTTTAAGATAATAGTTTTGTAATAATATCTGCCACCATCTGCCGGTGTTGACTCGTTTCCTTAACGACAAAAATGTACACCAGAGCGCGGAACAAAGCTTATTATATAATTTCATATAAATTGTAAGAAAAGCTTTTATACAAAGATTACACATTAACCTTTTAATACAATGCAATTCTTTTTTTTTTTTTGAGGATGGACAGTGTATTTAAAACCGTTTTTTAATTTTCTCATTAATTAAATTAAGTGAAATTTCCTATATCTATTTTTGGTTTTTCTTATCATTTCTTTTTCTTCAATTCTGTCCTATCTATTTTATAGGGTGTAATTGATACGGTTTACGTGTATCTTTTTTTAGTACTTTCTCTTAAAGTTTATCATTATATTGTGTTAATTAGATAATTTTCTCTAAAAATGACATTCAAAAAGAGTGAAGTGACATTGTAATCCTTATATTACCTTTTTTGTTACATATAGGATGAAATAGTATAAACACATTTGTCACGAAATGTTTGTTTTGCTCAGTCTTTTGTTTCCACCATTTCGATGGTAACGATTTTACTAAGTGTAGTATATAACCTGGAAGACGAATTAACCCATTTCAAATAATAAATGCCTTTTGGCCTCTCAAACCCTCATCGTTTACTTCTGCTTCAATGCCAGGCAAGATTCATTAATACCGAGAATTGCGAAATGAGTTACAAATGAAATAAAATATTTTACGCCTTTTATGTGACCGTATTTAGGTCACAGAACATCATTTTTGGGAATAATTAATTGCCTATGGAGTTGTATAGTACCAGTAACTGTATATTTCATAATATTATAAATTACAATAATACAAATTAGCTTGAATTCTAAACATAATAATAATTATTTTATAAATATATAATATATTTTTCTTAATAATAATTTAGATTATATAGCGGAATGGTAAGCTTTGACAGTCGACGGTCGTAACCAGTCGAGTATAATATGTTTGCTTTTTTTCCAAGTCACACTTTAAGGATTAAAACAATCGAAGCGAATTTACACAATTATTACTAACTAAAGTAAGGGGGAAAAAACTCGAGAGCTATTGTTGGACTTATGCAAAATCTTCTATGTAAACCCAAGGTTGAATAAAAATGTACAAGCAGCATACATTTGTGTCAAAGCAATTAAAACTTAAACCTTTTTAAAACGCCTAAGGTTATCGAAGAAATACACATTAAACTATTTCAATAATATGAAACAAATTTGATTGTGACTTCGACATCCCTACGGACTGGATTGAGTCATTAGTGTTCTTCTTCGGATTCTTCAAGTTTCTTATAAGTGTTGTTGGACACCTTCAATTGAGGTATTACGCTCGTAGAATTGTAGTCCGCTACACATTTCCCGTTGCTTATAATCTATTGCGAAACATGTAGGTATAGAATGCTATATCAGGCAAACTACATTATTAATTAGACACCACTAAAATTGCGGGAGCCAAAATGCCAAGGGATATCTATTATGTAGCACGGGCCAACAATGTCAAATATTATATAGATATCCCTTGGCTTCTAAGCATATAAATTTCGTTATCGTATTACCTTATCGGTTTCATCGTGTGTCACTCCAACCAGAAATATTAGCACGCAGCAAAACGCTAAGTTCAGTATGCCTATAGTTCTCATTAACCAAGGAAACCCGACTGACTTAACGAATCTTCCTCCTAAAACTGGACCTAGAATCGGACAAATGTGTTAGAGTTTAATAAATAATTTTAAAAATTATTAATCATAATCATGGTCTGAAACGGTTCGAGTTTTTTGGCTTTGTGTCGTGCCGGTTAATTAGATTCCCCCGAATGAAATGTATAATAGAGAAATATCTTATCAAGTATTAATTTTAACGTTTCAAGTTTGTCTCTTTAAGGAATACTTAAATAATACATTAAGGAATACTTTTAGGAGCTGTTTTTAGGAATAAAACTATAATACATACAATTTACATTTAAAATGATGTCAATTTTTTTTTTAATTAACGAAAAAAAAAAAATTAAAAAATGTCTGTAACTGAAATCATTTGTGAAGTTAGCAAAAAAAAACTATTTCAAATATATTTAAGAAAATTATTCAAACGTACAGAAGACGCTATTAATACCATTTAAATAACTAGATGAAAAATTGGATGTATTTTAGTCATTGTTCTAAAATCGTGTTGTACGGTATAGACTCTAGTTAATATATATTATAGATGTGTATTAACACATGTATAAAGAGTAAAAATGTGTAACCTACAGTAATATACTGTAACATATATTACAAGTTTTTTGTTATTGATTTGTTTTTGTTATCGTTTCGTTTTTTGTTATTACATTAGAGTTTCTATTTTATGTCAAAATAAAGAAATAAAAACATGATAACAAAGTAGAAGTTGTGTGGTATGTATTATTATAATACACAAAACACATGAATATATTAAAATAATATCACCGTCAGCACTTTGTCTCCCGTATAAACGCATTATATTCTCATTTTTACCTTTCGCAACTTTGCAGAAAGTGTACACATTTGTTTTATTTTATGATAAATATTGACGACGACGTTTCAAACTTTTTTAAAATGTACTAAATACTTTTAGAACTAAGTTTTTTTTATAGAACTTACCTATGAAGTATGCTAGACTGACGGCAGTTTGCTGGAGTGCGTACACCGATCCATAATGTACATTTGGATGTCTCGAGTCAACAAGACTAGCCAGCATAGGCACTAAAGCCGAGTCGACCACTCCGATGCCTAGACCTAGACCGAAATGTGGGCAAATCAAACCTAGCATTGACGTGGCAGATGGAATCTAAACAATGTAATAGAAAAATGTATTTAACGAGACAAATATAACTCATCCATTATAAATCACCAGTACAAAAAAAACTAAAATAATATTTTTAGCAAGGCACTTAGGATTCAGTTGCATTTGACAAAAACGCGAACAGAATGCATAATAACACAGTATATTCTAAAATTATGACGAAATCATATTATGCTTGGTACAATTTTGTGGCATCAAAAGTCCAACTTAGGCTCACCAAAATCGCAGATATGCCAACCAATAACGTAGCTAACACGGCCATTCTCCATTGGCCCACTTCGTATGCTAAGCTGCCGAAAAAATTGGTACCAACCAAGTAGCCAAGACTGTCTGGAATGAAAACCGTTCCTAGCTGCCACTTCTTTGAAAACAGTTTAAATTATACATTTGATTATGGTACATATTTTTTATAAATGTATGCTCCGAATAGTTTTACTTGCGGATTTATGATTTGTATAAGCCAAATTGGCAAAAATGGTTCAAGTGTAGCCATTGCCGACGACGTCAAACAAATAGCGGTAGTGATCAACAAAACGTATCCGTCTTTTAGAAGGTCTTTCCAGTTACCGTTGTCAAAACGAGCCTGTCAAAAAAAATGCACATACCAATTAGCAAGGAGCAAGAATATAATTTTATTAATACAAAAAATGGCCACCTTTAACTAAATAATCTGATCGGGATTCATTTAATAAATAACAAAAGTTATTTCTGGTCGAATGGTTTATCAAAATTAATACACAAGAAAATAATTGTTTAAAATTTACCAAGGGTTATGGATCAAATGACCAGTGAAGTAACCGGAAAACAGTTACGATTTTGAATCGTAAAACCCAATCGAATAAAAAAAAAATGTTGAAATCTATGATTATATTTTACAGTAAGTAGACGAATAAAAATTGTGCCTAAATGTGAAGCGACATTTCTGTTTGATAGTAAAACTGTACCATTTAGGGTAAAATAAACGCCTGTACTTTCTGTGTTTAACAAAAGATATACTTTACAATAATAGACTACACGAGAAAAAATATGAATAAATGTCAATTTACATATTTTATTAATTATAAAATGTCAAATGTGTAAACTATTTTTAATACGTAAAATAACCATATAAGTTTTTATTTAATAATATAGTTTTATTGTTATTTCGGTTTTACTAAACAAAAACTAACCGCAATGCATGTAGCGTGTAAAAGGCCAACACTTTAAATTTGTCTACAGAAATTTATGACTGTATCATAAAATGCCTGGTTAGGCTAGCTACAAAATATTTCAAAGGAGTATTTTTTATGATACAAAGGCAATGTGAAGAATTTTATTATTATTTTTTTTTACGGTTTAAGTAATAGAAAACAACAATTCAAACTATATTTAATATTCGAAAAGTCATATAGAACAATTTTAATTTTACAAAATGTTACTACAAGTTTACCTCGAATTTGTTGTCGTGATAAATTTGATTAAATTGTAACTTCTTGAATGGGTTTATCTAAAATAAAAAAATATTTTGTAATAATGGTAAAGTTAAGTGAAGATGTCTACTGTTTTAAACTTAAAAATTAAAATAACAACATGTTTACATTAAAATAACGAAAAATAAGTTATTTAAATTAATAAATATATAAAATTATTTTTAATAACTAAAAAACTCGTAATGGTGTAAAATATTTAAATTTAATGCAAAAAATAGATTAAATAAAACAAAAGATTATGGCTATTTAATTTTAATATTTTCATTATGACATAATATTATGCATTTAACATTCTGTATAATTTATCGTTATTTTTATATTGAAATATTTTGTTATTTCTATTTTAGTTAAACAAGATTGTACAGTTATGTGAAGTGACGATGTTTACTAATGGATTACGTTTAAAATATTTATTATTACCTGTCCTATTGGATTAAATCTTAAAATACACAACTGTAGTCCTGTAAATAAAAACATTTTATTGAAATTATTTTTAATCACTCATATTTGCAAAATTTAAAATGCAAAAGTTATTTTTTTTTTTCAATCTAAAAATAAGTTTTAAGTACAATTATTTATATTTTGACATTGAAATTGGTATTGGAATTAGGCTTCTTTTTTTATACATTTGTATAATGTGATGTAATGTAAAAATGATACAAGTGATGATTAAAATGTTATTTTTGGTTAAACTAAAGACCGTGCACTATACTTATATTTAAATACTTAAACGAAATTGTTTGCAAAATTATTACCGTATTTTTACCATTTTTTTATTTTACTTCTTAAAAACCTAAATTACAGATTTGATTTATTTGAATGTTTTAATGGAAATAATGATTTGTAACTGTTATTTTTAAATGTCTTTAAAATAGCGACCTAAATCGTTCCCGTTTTCTTATCCAAATTCACAATACATTAATGCGTATACGACCTTCTTGCGAAATAGTAGTGAATGTATTATGAATACTTATCAATAATTCATAATAAATAATATTCGTTAAAAAGTGTTAAGCGACTTTTATGTTTCTTGTATAACTGTATAATGACAACCTTTTTGTAATAACCGTTATTCACCTAACCAGAAATTTAGACAAATATGTTTTGTTGATGGCGGACGGTAAATGTAGTATAATTTGAATGTTAAGGATATGTATTTATTTATGCAATTTTTTTCATGATGCTAATAATAATAATAATAATAACGTAAAACGATTGCTAATATTGTGGGTATGATTTTTGTTTGACAATTGATTTAAGATAAAAATTCATATTCATTTTTTTAATACTGAAATAAAAATAATTCCTACCAAAAAATAATATAAAAATAATGTTTACAATAATACTGTTACATTATTACTTAAAAAGTATTAATTTTTTTTTATGAAATTATTACCAGGCGTTACAGTATAGACAATATTGGTGCATCTATGTGTAGCACTTTTCCACATGGCCTATATAGTTTAGGTATATATTGTTTTTTTGTAGGTTAACAACATCTACTATTAATTATTATAGCAATTACTATGATAACTAATAATATTTGGAAAAAAAAACGAAACGACATTTTATAACATAGACATATGCTTAGCCGTAAAACTTTATTGACTTATAAAGTTAAACCCAATTTTGATTTAACCAAATATAAAATACGTTATTAGTATTAATACTATTAATAAATGCAAATAAAAGTGTCGGTTATTTATATGGGCTAAATTTAACTATGTACATACGTCGAGTGTAATTATTTGCTATAAAAAGTATGGTTATTGTTAAGCTGAGTGTTTCACATATTTTTAATTACAAATAATTGTAGGTCTGTAAGTTTCCTTAAAACACCAGAACGCTTAAACGCGCACTTTTGCTTAATAATTTAAATTTGAATTGCAAAATATAACTTAAGTCTATAAGTCTACTAAGTCGTTAATAACTTTTACCAAGTGTTATGCTATTTTAACGTTGTCCATATGCTCACCCAAGTTTATTGTTATGACGCCAATGATAATAATGAACGGCGTTGGCTTGTTTACCAAGTCGTAAAGTATACCGCCAAACGGGTAACCGACCAGTACGCCCAGAGCAATGCTTCCCATCACTAAGCCCATAACTTTACTGCGTCTCAGTTCCGACATATGTTTTTGATCGGCTATCAGGCACATGCCTGCAAATAAATATCGTCTTAGCCGTTGTTGAAGTATGTATCTACCGATTCGACACACCCAACGAAAACGGTCGTATCTCACGTTTTCCGACCTTTCGGGTTGAATAAAATGAACGTTCAAACTCATTTTGTTACTCAACAATAAATCGACCCCCCCCCCTTCACAATGTACCAGGTCGTTTCTATAGATGTAATCAGAGTGTGAAAAATCTGTAAGTTGAAAAAAAGCTGCGTACGACCTTATACATATTTGTTTGGGGGGTGGGGGGAGTTTTCGGTCTGGTTGTACGCACCTGACACGCCGATCAGCGCCGAAGCAGTGCCCTGGAGACTTCTGGCAATTAACAACGAAGCAAACGATTCGCCGTACGCGAACACTGAAAACAAACCTATATAAGTAAGCATTGTGTTTGTTTGCAATTATTATATTAGCATCTGCGCTGCGAAGTTATTAATAATAAACCGTCGAACGATTATTTAGCCAAAATGACAAAACAACGAGGCACGATGGACGGGGACGAGTGTAAAGAGATTATGAACAGTTTCGGCGTTTAAATATGACCTCTCCGTAAGAAACAAAGTCGTTTTATTCCGCTCTGACGCATCCGTTGTTGTGCGATTTAAATTAATCCCCCATATAGTTTGGGCGTGGCTTTTTAAACTTTAACTAAACCCTGACAAAATATAATCATTACTTACGGTTAGCAGCACAGAACTAATAAAGTTTAAAAACGACATATTATAAAACTTAATCTTTAATAAATCAAATCAAATAAATATAGCAAATACTATATCAGAAAATATTATTGAATTTGTAACTGCTTTATAATGCCCATTCAGTATGCCATACAGTATTTTACTATGTTTTTGTTTTTAAAATAAAGCTGAAATGTTTTAAAGTTTTTGTGGCCAAACATTATTATTATTTTTTTAAAAACCACGGCCTGTTTGAAACAATTTCTTTTATATAGCCTTTATTTAGATAAACTATTTAGCTCGACAAATTACAAATACAACGTTAACAATACATTTAAACTAGGTAGTACAATGTGAAATTAGAAATAACAATATAAACAGTAAAACAAATTAAATAATGATTAATAGAAAGTCCAACGCACAGCAGAAAGGATAATAGAGAATGAATAACGGGTACAGAACGGGAATTAAGAACAGATTCAGAAGAAGGAGAAAAGATATAGTGTGTAGCTAAGAAGTTAAAGAGAGCTGTTTTGTTGAAGGACAAAACCGAACAAATGAGAAGGTAGTGAGAGAAGTCCCCGGGGACGTTCCCTTCGTGTAGAGTACAAAACTGGGAGGAATTTAAAGATAATAGGAAAGAGTGAGAAGGAAGGATGTTTTGACCAAATCTTAGACGATGGAAAATTGTGATTGTTTTTTTCTGTGTATATTTAGGCTGTGAGACCATGGACGAGAGGAGATTGAGGGACATATAAATCTGTGCCATTTGGAAAAGCTAGGAGGTTGAGCAGACTATTTTAACTGCCAGGCTCTACGGATGGTTTTATTGAAAAAACACATGAAATCATGAGAAGGGATTTTTACGATAGGAGTTAGGGAGTAGAAACATTAGTTTTAAAAAATCATAAAATTTAGCTGACAACTACTTACATACTGATATGATGATTAACAAGATTGATCCTAGGAATATTGGCAAGTTGTATCCGACGTACGATGTAAAAACCCCTACCACGGGGTTCATGAGCAACTGTACGATGGCTTTGGAAGATAACAGAATACCGACTGTTTCGTTTTCGTTGTCCAGAGTTTGTTTCATTTTCAGCAATGAGCTGATGCATATTATTACAATACCAGATTCAAAAATGCACAAGACATTTGATTAGTTTAGACGTACTGGATGAATAAAAAATAATACACGCGTTTACCTGGCGAGCAGCGCGGAATGGTCCAACGTGGTCGCGTTGGTCGGTCTTGATGAATTATTATTCCATTGAGTGTACAGGTATTCGGGAATTATCGGTACTGTGATACATTTATGAATATATGATACATTATTATTATTTATTATAGTTCTGTACCTGGGGTCTAAACTGTCCGAGTTCAACCAATTAACTATAATAAGGGTTTGAACTCCCCAGTCTTCCCCACGCGCGCCCCTCTGGTTGTGCCAACGCCTTAGTTAATGTAAATTTTCTTATAATGTTTATTAAGAAGTGTTGTTATGTGAAATGTTGTACGTTTTACAATTGAAAATGGTACGCTTAATTACAAATATTATGTAAAACGTCATTAAGATCGGTATAACGACTTCTGTTTATTCAATTAAATTAATCAGTTTTGGGGCGCGACCGAAACTGTAAAGTACTGAATAACTGTCGACTCGCGATAAGCCATTAATTAGTTTTCTAAATATAAATATGTATATTATCCGACAGCGAGGACCCTATAAATACTGCCGAACGTGCGCCATTATAATGTTGAGCAAACAAAACCATGCCTAAATTAGTCTCATGGCTTATAAACCGTTTTTTTTTGTATTTTTATATAAAAATAACTAATATCTTCTCAGCTATCGCATCGAAGCTAAAAACAATAGAAGATATTTTTAAGACTAAATTTATAAAATGAATGTAACAATTTATAACCCGTAACTAATAAGTTCTTTGTTTATAATAAAAAAAAAAAAAAAAAAAAAAACTGCGCCTAACACAATTATTATTATTGTTTATCATATCGTACTATGTATATAATACGGTTTTTAAATAATTGGATTAAAAGTTATTAATCTCATTTGTTAATGAAGGAGGTTTATTATTTGTTTTTTTTTTACAATACTTATAAAACATATTAAGCTAATTAGCATTCACGTTGGTTTAATACGCAGTTTAGTAAAATAAGAACTGCTTGGCAATATCTTTTTAGAATGGAGTTTAAAAGTTATCCAGATTCTAAACATTTTTATTGCGTTTTATCTTTTTTTTTCAAACGTACAATTTTTGTCTAATTACCAAAAGTCAAATTTTGAGATAAGAAAAAATACATTATATGCTAATTTGAAGTGGTTTATTGTTATTTGTAATCATTGTGATTTGTCTAATTGATAAAATAAAAACCAATACAGCTGTGCGTTAGGTCGGAAAGTATTCGTTTATCGAATGGAATTTATTAATCAAATAAAACACTATTATGTTGTTTTTTTATCTTACCAACGACGGTCAACAGTACATTGTCTAAAAACATAGATAAATAGACGATAATGATCACTCCAAGATCGCTCTCCACCGTGTTCGAAAGAAGAGACCTGAAAATTGTAAACATAACGATTATTATTACAATTGTGTCAATTTTCGACATACGTAGGTCGTACTCTGTTTTGGGCATTAACATTGTACAACAATTTATAAATTATTTTCTACTCTCAGTACTTGAACTTTACATACTCATTATATACAACGAAACTGTAATTATATGTGTGTGTAATTATTTTTCTATTATAGTATAATATCATTATCAATATTTATTGATTGTTGGGTACATTCAAAATAAATACTGTTAAACAATAATATTTACACAGCCGATATCAACCGCGAGTAATAATAATAGTATGTTGACAGTGTGTATACGTTATAATTATTTTTTCGTAGGCGAATAAGTTTCGTTATACTTACATTGGACTTAGGTGTTGTACGTCGGGGGCACTACATGTAAATGCACTTCGGTCACACGGGTCGGGTGCACTTATAGCGGTGTAGACTTGCCCAGGGTATTGGAAAAATTGCTTCCTGTCCGCTGGACAATGTCGTCATAGTAACAGTCTCATTTGTCGTTATTTATTTTTTATCTGTTGTCAGCATGGATGAGTTTCGAATTTAATACCTCGCCCGTAAGTCTGTCCTATAAAGGGGTGCGCCGATATTATAAGAAAACTAAAAACAGTCGTTGTAATAATATATTGTGTGTACCTATACATAATAATGATCTCTGGACCCAACTCTTTGTATGATTTTTTTTTCTTATCTCAAAACGAAACAGTCGACACAATAAAACTCGATTTGCACAGTCGGTCACAATATTATAAATGCGTCATTGCCACTGAACCGACGAGACATTGTTGTACGACATTGTTTTTTTAAAATAATATTTAAAAGAAAATTATAATTTTGTAGTAAATGTAATTTTGTTTTGTTTTGTTTTTGAAATCATAAGCATAAATGTTTTTTTTGGTAAATACAAAAATCGGATAGTGTTTCAAAATGGCTAGAAGAGAAGATGTTTATGATTATTTGTTTAAATTTATTGTAGTCGGCGATGTTGGTAAGTACGTTAAAAGGTATACAAAATAATATTATACGGACAATATAATATTTTGGGATATTAGTTTTATTCGACATGTTATAAAATATTTTTAAAAATTCATACATATTTTGTAAAAAAATCAATTCCGCATGGACAATTTTTGTCAAAATTCAAACTAAACTAATCGTTTAACTAATTTTAAACTAACTTTAAGTATTAATAATTATAGAAAGCATATTATATTATTTCCAGTTGAATAAAAAGCATGTCTTCCAATATAAACATTATATATTTACTTTTTCTCTAAAAAATTGAACGCTGGTGGAGATATTTATTTATACAATTTAATTTCAACTGCAAGTTGTGACAGTTTTTTTAATTTGTACACTTTTGTGCTTATTCCATAAAAACGTTCCGTTGCATAATGTAATTATTATAAAAAAATCGTTTGAATAGAATTTTAATATAAATGTATTCAAGATATGAATTTCAAAAATACGCTTTACTCTTAATCGAATTGATTTTTTAAACCCAATTGGAACGAAGTAAAACATGTGTATTAATATTGTATTATACCAAATTTACTGTGTTCAAATAATGTTGTTTGATTTAATTTGCATTTGTGTTTTTTAGGCGTAGGAAAGACATGCATAACTAGACAGTTCCTTTACCATGAATTTGATACTAAAGAGCTCTCGACCATTGGTAAATAACAATATAATTTGTATAGTTATTTATTTTGTGTAAAAAACTTGCTGTAACAATGTAAGCACTAAGCATATTTAGACGTTTAATTTTCTTATGCACGTAACGTACCTTAAGGGCTTAAAATAATAACGTTACGTTCGGTAAACGATGTAATTGAATTATATATTTTATATATAACATATTATATTATGATACTTTACTTAATACGTAAAATGTATACTCAACAAAAGATATAAATATTTCATGCGAAATATAATTTATATATATATATACATGACGTGTTTACTTATTGGTTTGTTTGTAGAGACTGTTCAACGCTATATTTATAAGTCTGTTGTCTGGGAGCTTTATAGCCCGAGTTAAATAGGTATCAAGTTTCATATTGAAAAATATAAAGTGCATTTCTAAAGAGGTATCGAATTTCCACTGAAGTATTTTCACGTCAAACAAATAGTTTTATGTCAGAAGTCGCGCAATGTAATTGATTATAGGTAATTTAGAAAGGCTATAGCCGATAACGAATGGTCTACAAAATTAAACTTAACTTAAATTGCATTACAGATGAAACAATTGAGTGTTTAGTTTACCCATTACGACTGGATTTATCTTTATAAACAATTTAATGTAAATTTTCTTTTTATCATCTAACTTTTTAAATTTAATGTTAGAGATTACCCTCGATCAACTTTTAAGTGCCGCCTCGCTCCCTAGTACTCCTTTCTATATCCCTCGCCCGTGTCTACAAATTTCCTGGATAACCGCCCTATTACTCGCTTAATGCGCACCGCTATTTGTTCGTTAGTGAAATATGTTCACCTCATAAATATTATGTTTTGCGTTGTAATGTATCTTCTGCACTTGTTGTTGTGTTGTAACAAAATTGAAAAAAATATAAGTCATGCGTATGGAAATATTTTCAGGTGTAGATTATGGACACAAAACGCTATCCTTGTACGGTAAGAAAATCAAAATAGCCATTTGGGACACTGCTGGGCAGGAGGTCTTCAAATCGATTGCCAGGTCGTATTACACTGGCGCGGCTGCTTGTATACTCGTGTACAACATAACCAACCGTAATTCCTTTTTGCACGTCAGCGAATGGCTGAAAGAAGCTCGCCTCAACTCCAACTCGAGAATGGCGTTTGCGTTGGTCGGCAATAAAACGTAAAATATTATATAATATTGCATAATGTTTGTCCGTGGAATGCACGTTACCTTTTTCGTATTACAATGTATAACAATCTATTCCCCGGTTTTTGAACGGCCCACGCCATGTCCCTTGCCGAAACAAAAACCCCAAAAACAATCTACAAGTCTTCGAACAATAGAAAAAAAACTATCAATTCCCATCTGAATGCATTTAGTGCGCTACGACATTTTTGGCGTGCAAATTGTTAGACCGATTACAATAGTTTTGCATAACATCAATATTTCTGCTATTATCCGTGCGGCCGTCTGTGGTTTATTAAGTATTCCCAAGAGTGACTTTGTACGACGGTCAATTAAAATTTTGAGGGTGTGGACAAATTGTCAAACGCGGTTTTATGTGGACTCAGACCTATAACCAGCAGTAGGTCACTTGAAAAGTTAATTTTGTTTTTTGTAGCACTGTGTTATTTTTACAGTACATATTGCATTCGATTAATAGGGTCGATGGTTTTTTTTTTTTTTTACTTTGCAGAGATCTAGAAGAAAACCGACAAGTGGACCGAGTGGACGGCGAAAAATTTTCCACGACAAACAGTTTGTTGTTTTTCGAAACATCCGCCAAAACAGCCGATAATGTGTCTGAGGTATTTGAAGAATTGGCCAGGTACTTGTACAGGAAAGTCATGAGCGGTGAAATCGACGTCAACCGACCGGTAAGGATAAAAATTAAAAACGTATCGTTTGATACGTTTGCAAAGTGGTCGGATAGCGGCAAAAGCCCTATAATATAAAACCTGAATAAAAAAACTAAATTCTCTTTCAAAAGTGATCAACAATTTTGTTATAAATTTCCCCAAAAGGTTTTAGAATTATTTTCTAAAATATTAATTTAGCGACTATGTAATACCATCGCTAGTTATAAGTGTGTAACTGTCTGGCGCGAACGTGCGGTTGTCTTAGAATTGCTCAGTGGAACTAGATAAACATGTAAAGACTAGCTGCAGCTTCGCTCACGAGAGGCTATCCCATCCCAGGTCGGTAATATTTACAAGTCCTGATCGAGGAGAGTTGGTTTCGTTCAGAATTTATGTGTTGTTGCGTTTGTTGTTGGTTTAAACCAAGAAAATAGGTAGGTAACAATGCTTTGTTCCCCGTTATGAGCAGTCAGAAATCTTCTGAACTTGACTATTGTATAGGCATCGTTCAGCGTGCCAAAAACATATTGGTTCCAAATATTCTCCCAGAAATAAAGCTCTCTTGGAGTTTTTGCCGATTTTATGCCATTTCGGATCCGACCACTGTACGTTGTGTAGTTACTTGTGAACTGTCTGAATATTTGCTAATCGTTTTAATTATTATTTGTTACAGATGTCAGGCGTTCGAATAGGACGAAAAATAAGTAAATCTGAAAAAGTAAAAAACCACGCGAGCGATTGCTGTTCATCGAATTAATTTACCTTAATTTGCTGTTTAATTACAAATAAGACAAAATATAAATTAAATCCTTTGTATACACTTGTACGTTTATTTGTTAATGCTATTTTTTGTTTTACCAGTAACCACCTAAAAAAAAAGTCGAAAGTAGGCAAAGTACACAATACCAATAAAAGTAGTATTTTCAGTTTTGTAAATTAGTATTAAGATTTATGTTGATTTATAAAATTCTTTAAGACCAAATGTGTACTCACAATAAGAAATTGAACTATAATATGTTATTGTTGTAAGAACACATATTTTTATGGGAAGCGCATATCATCGCAATCCAATATATTATGAAAGACAAAGTTTGAAAATATATAACTGCTCAATAAATAATATTTTTTTGAGAATCATGAATATATAAATGGACAAATAAAAAAATCTACATGATGGATTGAAACGATTAGTCATGTGAAATTAATTATCAAAATTGTTATTAAAATATTGATTTATTTGTATTAGCTGTTAGTAATTGATTTGTACTAAACACTAACAGCTGCAATAAGGACAGAAATTAAAAATAAAATTTGAAAAAAAACAAAATTTTAATAACAAATCAAAATTTAAAAAAAATCATCACATAACGTATACAATTAAAATAAGATTATAATATTCTAATCCAAACATATTTGTTCGGTAACTTTAAAAACATTTTAATCGAATAAATTATTACCCGAAAACTAACAAATAATTAATGTGTATTCGAATAAATGATTATTTGATGACATAACAAATACATTTCTTGGAACAACCCATTTTTCGAATTAAACTCAACTATAAATATTGTAATAATATATTAGTGAAAAGTAGATAGGCAATTCAAATGTTTTCCTCTTGTAACAAATTTTACACCATAACGGAATGCGCTTTTCACATTTGTCACCAATTATAATAATAATGTTAATAAATCAAAATTATCACTTGCCAATTAGCAGTTAGGCGTTCTACATAATCTTATAATAAAGCCTGAGGGACTTCAAACAAACCTAAGTTTTTTGAGTGCACAGGTGGTCGCTTTATGGCTATTACACACCATGTGTGCTCTTTATGTATATAATTAATAGCAATAACAGTTGTAGAGCCTAGACAAGTATATTTGTTAATAGTATAAGCGGACAGCGCGTTTTATAGCCGTGGTTTGTACGTTCTTTCGTCATCGTTGATTCAAATTAAATAAATAACGCGTTAGTTTTACACTTTTTTTTTTTTTATTAATTATTTTTTATTATTTTCTTACTGTAAAAAACGCTATCATAGTTGAATAGTATTCGCTGTAGGTATCCCTTGCCTAATCACCAATACCTAATGCCTCGACGACAGCCGGAGCTAATGGCCCGATCATCCTTCGGCATTATTATTATTATAGTGTATTATTATTATTATGTATACATATATAAAATACACGGCGATTAGCTGTACGCGGTCTATTTTTTTGTGGGTCAAACGATGAATGTATTTTTCGCTAGGTTTCACCCGAAATTAATTTAACGCCATTACTATGCTGTTGTAAGTACTGCACTGACCGGCAGAGATTTCGAAAATAAAAAAACAACCAGCTGCTGCTCGCGTGTACGGCTGTAATAAAAACATATCATGTGTTTAATTGAATAGCAAAATAAAAACGCGCGCTGCGGTTTCCAATTTGTCAACCGGTCGACTACAATATTATTACAGAAGTGCGGTGTAATAAAATTACCAATTAATAAATTAAAGCCACGCCAGAGATAGCAGTGTTAAATACCACCGCTTTCCTTGCGGTTCCTTTCTGATTTTTAACATTTTTATTTTGCAAAAGTGCATCAGGTATGGTAATTGCACGTACAAAATAAAGACCTTGAAAGTCACGAAACCCGAATTCTTGGACGAGTAATGTTGTAGCTGTATTTACTCAACATGTTATTCATTAAATAACAGTGGTCAGTGTCATATGCTAACCACAATATTATTACATAAGAACTCTAGAGCAGTTCAATTTTCTTTTTTTTGTCACTATAATACAATATTTAAATAAAAAAAAAGTTGAAGTACTAGTACTTATAAATTATTTTTTCTGCAAAATAGTGATTGTACTTATATGCGAATTGTATTTATAAATATATTATTATTATTAGTGCTTGTATTTTACTATGTAATAACGAAATAGTTATTAAAAATGAAACCCCTTCATTTTTTTATCGACTGTTATTTTTTTTCAACTTAGTGTCACTTATAGCATCTTCATCATATGTAGCATCGTAGAATCTAGAAGATAATAGCGTCTTGCATCATCATCATTAATCATAACCGCGTTTACTGTGGTACTTTATATAGTCTGGAAAGTAACATGCCATGTGTGGCCAACAAACTTAGTATTGTATTTACTATTTAAATAAACAATGAATTGCTTTATACTCGGGTTATAATAACATCTGTAATATACAGTAGTATGACGAGGGTTGGCAAGTTTATGATTAGTTAGTTAGTTCAACATAGTTTAATAAAGTCACCGGAAGTATTATTAATTGAGTTACTTGATCAAGTTGAATAAAATTTGTAGGTTATGTAGAAACGTTGAATGTTAGTTTTAGCTTATATAAAGGATTAACTGGAATCGATTTAAAACAATATAATGTTTTTTTTCCATATTTCATATCAAATGTGTCTTTGATTTTTAAATTAGCATTTATTGTTCTCCTATAGAAATATTGACATAATTCGTGTGTTATCCAGAAGCGAATAGGTTAAGTTTATGAACAAGTTATTATATTTTTACAACATTAAACATAACCTACTAAATTAAGGTGTATGATTTATTTTTTAAATTTTTAAAACTACTTTTATTTATAAACTAGGTTCAATCCCGGGCTTCGCTCGGGTTAAGAAATACAATTGCGCAACACAATCCAAGGGCTTCATTTCTGTACTTCAATGTGGACACACGACGTTCATCGATCCAATAGCAACGGATTGGTCAGCACTGTAATCAATTGTCACGTTGTAACGGAATGCAGCCCGATGAGTTTTTATTTGTTTGTCTTGAGCATTTGGTCCACCCGTTCTCAAGTGATGCGTGTTCCAACGAACAGCATTTAATTTGTATTTATTTAGATTGTAATACATAAACGTATTGAGCTATACAAATTAACTTGTTTGGATAGGTTAGATTAAAAATCAAAATTGTTTATTTGCGTGAGGATATTAACTGAAGATATTGTTGTTATATTATTGTTGCTATTATTTATAGTAGGTATAAATCATGTAGTATATGATTAATAAAGTTAATTATCCGTGTGGTATTAGTACTGGAACAAGTGTAATATGGGAAACCAAACTTTCCGAAAGCCTATTAAATCATCAGCCTTGGTATGTTGACGTATTGAAAGGTTTCTCTCTAAGGTTTCTGTTATGCAGTTACTATCGGTAATATTATACCATTTTTTCTCAAAAAAAAAAAAAAAAATTTCCGCAAGGAGAAACATGCGAATTATGAATATGTTTTGTTGCACACACCCTCGCCTTATCTTAACCGTATAATAAATAGATTTCGAACTTACTGACAAAATGTTACTCAAATTTTGAATCGACACCTCAAACATTTTCATAACAAAAGTTTCTTTTTAGTTACTAATATTGAAGTATCTGTTTTAAGCTTTAGGGAAACTGAGAACAATAAATTCTGTCTTTACTTTTTAACTATGTATTTTTTTATTTCAAAGCATAATACGGGTACAGGAATTGTGTTTAGAAAATCAAGTTCAAAAAACTCAAAAACCGTCACAGAAATTAGTTAGGACGCCCTGTGTGTTTTGTACCTACCCCGGTGCTTAATACCGGCATACATTTTTATTAACTATACGGCCTTGGATTATTTTGGCAGTTTATAACTGACGGGTTGTCTTTAACACAAAAATCACTATCGGCCAAAGTTCGGTTGAAGGGCTGTGTGACAAACGAGTGAGTGGTGGCTGGCGATAAGGCGGTAATTTCATTCCAAATTGATTCAATCCTACCGTATTGGAGGTGACGGAACACCGTGTGGGCACTAAGTTTTACTCCAAAGTTAATCCAGACCATTGGACCGTGATACACACTCGCGTGATTTATGTACTTTACACGGAAAATGGCCAACTAGTAATTTGTGCGATAAATGACTTGAAGAAACTGGAAAAAACCGACACAAAATAGCGCGGATCGGTTTCGGCGACAAACTCAAAACACAAGACCCACTAAATTAAATAAAAAATACCACCGCCAAATCACATATAATCGCACACGACTTTCTCTCTAAACCGAAAAGGTCACATTTAACTAATTAACAGAATGATCTGAAAAGAATTCTCGTCTAAATGAAAAATTCACCCAATTGCCAATCTAAAATTGAATCATTTCATCCGGAATTCCAAGTAGTTCTATTTTTGATAAAGACACATAATATGGTCTTACTCTTATTCCGAGATAAGCAAATTTCTGAAAACCTTATAAGCAAACTTTAAATATGAATAATAATAACAATATTAAATGCGTTAGTTTAGTACAAAGCGGTAATTTTTTTATAAACCCGATATTTTGTTTTTATGTATTAGCCGTTAGCAGAAAACAATTGTTAACTTGTAAGAAAAATAATTACAATTTAACAGAATTTCCAGAAATCATTACAACCATTTTATTCTACTGAACTATACTGTTGATCCCTCCAACATATCCCTACAACTGTGTGTAACCAACGGGTCAGATAGTGAAATAATTTTAATTTTGATGTTTATGAAAAGTCCCATTCCGTTGGAATAATATTAATGTTTGATCAAATCTAATGAGAAATTATAAAAATCAGCTTTAATCTAAATTATACAATGCATTTGATAATTTATGTAGGTACACGCACAGTTCACTGCGATAGAAATAATTTTAGTATAGTATTATACGTGGAATATTTTATGGAGATTATATCAAAATGTACCCATAATGTGTAGATACCACTTAATACTTTAAGGACATAATATAGCTTTTAAATAAGCCGTATGCTATCTAAATCTGTTTAACTTAAAATTGGATACGATGGCTATGGCGGGGTGTAATATAATATCCAAGATAAATACAAAGTTTATTTTTAAATAACAATCATAATAGCATGTGTTTCCTAAAGTCCTAAATAAATTTTTACTAATTACATTAAATGTACAGGTTTAATGTACGTGTACCTGTTTAATAATTATACTGGAATTATTTACAATTACAAAAAATAATTAATAGTTAAATAATAAATATTTAACATTTTATATCAAACAGGAACAAAACAAAGAGTATTTTTTTTAATGTATTATTTTATTACTTAAGTATTTAGTACAAGTATTCTATATGTCTTAAATTAGGTTTTTTTTTCAAATAACTAAACTAGTAGTTTTTATCGTTTTAAAAAGTAACATTAAACTTGACTAGGTTAGATTTTATTTTTTTTAATTTTAATTAAAATGGTCGATAAAAATATGTCAAAGTACAGATTCTGTCGGACGACGACCTTAAGCTTTCAGGTATTGAGTCCTACGCGGAGGGGTTGACGTGTGATATTGAAATACCGAGCGGGCGGGCGAGCGGTGGGCAGGAAAGGATTTAATTTCGCGTGGAATTTGCAATATTTCAAAAGCCGACAAGAAAGGTCTCGTGTGTGTGTACAGTGTACATCGCGGGACAAAAAAATAAATGAAGCAAACATACCGTCGGATATACATAAACGGGTCTGGCTCGTCCATCCTAACGCGCTAATTGAGCTGCGTTTGTTTGTTTTCCGAAAAACAAAACCTGATCAGAAGAAATTTATCTAATTTCTGATAAGTCGGTATTGTTATTGTTGTGCAACGAAAAAGCTGGCCGGGAAGTCCATCGAAAGTTTATGGGGAAATAAAAATGTGGAGTAGGGGATGGCGAGCGGGTGGGTGAGGGAAATTTTCGACTTTGGCTAGTGAAACCCGCATGGTTTTGTTTGGGGGGAGGTGAGGAAGGCCGACATGCGGGTCGCGGTGTGTGTGCCGAGAAGGAGGTAGGGATGAGGGGAGGGATAGAGAGAGAGGAAGAGGAGTGAAAATATTATCCCTGGACGCGGGTGCGCGCGCATATTCCTGGGTCACCCGTGGCAACCGGCGGATCACCGTGCGCGCGTTACCGTCGCCGCCGCCGGATGCCGGCAAGACGGGAGGGTGCGTGGACGCGGCGCGGCGCGGAGGGAGTGAAGAACGACCGGCGGACAGCGAGCGCTCTACGGTCGCGGCTGACGTGTCGTCTTGGTCTCGCGCGCGCGGTAATCCCGCGACAGGCTGCAGTACACTCAGCGTAACCGTCGCGGCCAGGCGCCACGAACACCGGGTCGCGCGCGCACGCACCACGCAAACACGCGGGCACACCGACGACGCACACGTGAAAAACAAACAATAATAATATTTCCTGTCCGGCCGCCGCCGTAGTCCCTTAACGGAGTCCACCTCCGCGGCCGTGTCACAGTCAGTTCAGACGCATCAGCCGCTGCCAGCGAGTGCTGGGCCATGTCACCGCGGTCGTCGCCGACATCTGGCGTCCGTCGACGCCGGACCGGCGACCGCCGTCCGTCCGTGTCACCGCCGCCACGTGCTGCAGGCTACCGGCCGCCGGAATAAAACCGCCCCCAACGGAATATTCGTTTAATTATTTCTTAAACAAGACCGCCCACCAGAGCAAGTACGAATTTTTTGCATAACTTACATAATAGTTAATAAATAAACATAACATTGAACAGTGAATTTGTTAATTAATGGCATTTGACTTGTGTTGTACGTAGCCGTCCGTTATCTTAGATGTAAAGCTAGGTATTTATTTGACTGGCCTATTATGCTTGTAAAATTTTACAGTTTAAAACATAATTTGGACATAATTTTGACATTATACAAAGTATAATATCATATAAAGTGTCATATATTTAATAGCTTAAAATGTATCAATCGTCAGTTTTTTTAGAAATCTTAAACTTTACTTTAAATACAAGCACTTAAAATAGTAAAAAAAGTCAGAATTAAAATTGTAAATGTTGAGTTAATAATATAAAAAAGCCGAATACAGAACCTATACATAAAGTTCTCATAATAAGAATGAGAATATGCGTAGCTATGTTTAGATGATATATTTTTTTTTTTAATCCCAGTCAAGGATGCTTTGATAGTCCGAAAAATAAATTAACTGCTAAAAAAGAGTCATATTTACTGAGCTAATAATTACATATCACAGTTTAACCGTTAAATTAAGATTTTGAACTCCTTAGTAAATAGGGATATGGGGTCCTCTTGACGGAAACGCAATTTAGTACTTAATTAGTTGTTTCCAAATGATTAATATTGTTGTTTATTTATGAATCGTTTTGGCTAATGTATGATGTACAAATCAAACTAGGTATAAACGTTTTTTGAACTTTTGACATACTGTACAATTCTATTTCTACATTGGACGTGTAAGAAAGAAATACAATTTGTAATTTTCTATAATTTTCTAAGACCTATTATTCTGAACTTTTTTACTATAAAACGCGAAGACGAGAGTTTCTTAAGCGAAACATAAACATAATCACGTGCTAGGACGTATCTTTTACTATGACATCTATTGCCGGAGTAGCTGTTTGTTTTGATAATAAAACATAGTAATAACTAACGCTTAGATGTGGGTTTACACGTTCATTTGAACTGTGCAAACGAACTGTACGCACTTCGGTTTCGGGATTGCACAAGCTAACTGCGCTGCGTGTGTAAATAAAAACAGTATGATTGCACAGTTAAATCATTTGTACTATGAGGCTGTGTGTAAACGGATATCGTGGATTTAGAATTAAAAATTAACAAAAAAACCTAAAAGGTGTAAATCTTAAATAACTAACTCGGTTCATTCGCGCAAACCGACTGCACTAAAATACCATACATTTGTTTGCGCAGTTAAATTGAACGTGTATAAGCTTACATTAAGTTATAAACAAAAAAACTACGAGTTGAAATTATTTTACAACAGTTATTTTGATTTATTTACAAATGTTTCAAGTGAAACCCAATATTGCAAGCCCAATTATATATATGTGGATTCCAATAATTAGCTCACTTACCTACTTATACTTACATTACACTTATACTTACTTACACTTTCTTACTTATATAATAGTAATCAAACCGCATAATTTAATATTAATTCCTCTTCGGTCCAAAAGCGCTGTATTATTTTTCAAGGACTTTTGGCAAACGACCATTTGAGTTTTCACTTTTGGCCAAACTAATGTCCGCAAAAAAAAAAAAATCAACTGGAGAACATTATGTGTTTGGGTAGTATATTTTGATACAGAGGTTTTAGCTAAAAAATTATTAGCTTTTTTTTTTTGTTTTTATTTCGTAGAACTCGTAGGTACGAATGCGGTACGTTGTTTGCAATTTAATAACAATTAGTTTGATGATGAAAAATGAAACAAAAAATGTACCCACTAATATACGACTCGCGTGTGGTTGGAAAACACAAAATGCATTAGGTAGTACGTCAAGCAGATAAATGGCCGTCGGTGCTCCCTGCGAGAACGGACCGCATTATACCACATAATAGGCCTGGAGAAAATAATATAATAATGATAACATTAGCTTAGGTATATACTTGTTTCCGGGACGGCTTTGAAAAATTAAACAATTAAATTCCCATAACGCAACATCATAATAATTCACTGCCTTGGCACGCACGAAAAACATCCATTGACGGAGATCAGTAGTAACATTAAAACTTAAAATTAGCGCTTTTCAAAATACCTACATTTATTATTTTAGTGAGAGATTTGTTGAAATCATAATAATTATAGCACTAGTTATAAGTTTTAAGGTTTTTAGATTTCCAAACCCCCCCCCCCCCCGATCACCAATGATAACACCACATACAGCAGTTTAGTTTTTTTGGGACGCGCGGCAATGCTAAATTGATTTATGTATGTGTTTTGCTCATATTGTGTTCGGACGGAGCTTGCAAAATAACCATAAATCTAATTTAATTATTGAAAAATAAGCATTTAATTGTTAGACCAATACATAATGTTGTCAAAGCGAACGTCGCGATGAATGGAAATATCATCACAATAATATTATATATATGATATATATATATATATATATATATACAATAAAAAGTCAACAAACCCAAATCGGGCGTATTAGACATAATACACTTGTTTTTTTAAAATAAAAATCTGTATTTGACAAAATCCAATATTCCCAACTTTTAACCCATAACTTAGCTTAGATTTCTATTCTTAAAAATACATACTTTTTAAATATTAGTTTGCATGACCTAACTAAAAATTCTTTTGATTTTTTTTTTTGTATTTAAAAACAACCCTTGCCAAGTTAAAGGTTAAAAATATCATCCTAAAAAACTGCCCTTTTAAAAAAAAGTCTTTTACCACAGACAATAGAAATTATTTATAACACTGTAAACTTTACTATAGTGACGATTTTATATGATACTTTTTTTAGCTGTAACAATATTAGGATGTAAAACAAAAATACTAAATGAACAAAGGCTTTGTAGTCGGTTTATGTCAACCAACGAGCCTGGTAGTATTGGCTCAAGTACTTCATGTGGCATTTAATTGTATTTCTAATCACGTTGCCTAGGACGCCCAATAAATGGTAAGAAAATAATATTAAACAAAAAAAAAGGTCAATTATAAAGGACAAGAACCAAGGTTCTTAATCTTTTTCGTTTTGTTTTGAGATGTTCGAGTGTCTTTTGTTTACCGCAGTATTTTTGTGCTCGCAATTAGAACGAGTGGCATTTTTGTTGTAATTAATTGTTCTTTTTCGAGGACTTTTTCTATTGTCATTTATAATTTTGTCGACTCGTCGAAACCAGGTATTTATATGACTTTTTTTATGTACATATTAACACGAGAAAAAAACAATCGGAATAGTTAAAGTAACAATCGTTTTAGCGCGTTGAACCTATGTATTCAATTAAGCCTGTATATGTTTTTTATCAGTGCTGGATGGTAATGTGTCCTGATTGAGTTGGCGTAGTTATGTGATAGGGAGAGGGAAATTGTTTAAATTCTACTATTGAACAATTTTAGCGGAGCTGAACTACTTAACTAACGGCCACGAGTATTATCCTGTTGTCAAACGCAGCCGAGCACTTTTTAATTGTTGAAATCGTTGAATAATTATTTTGTTTGTTTATTAATTTTTTAAATTCCAAAACGGTAATGATTAATATTGCAATAATAAATTGAGAAAATAAAAATACTTACAGGTTAATAATATATTTTATATAGTATTATAATAATCGCGCGATACGTCATTCTGCGTTGTTTAAAATGCATTTAACATTTTTTTTTATAATGTTTGGCTGAACCCAAGAGCCCAGCATAGTAACCGATTAAGTACGGCTACCGATGACGTTTACCTAAGTACTCATAGTGGACCCCGGCGAGTGAAGAATAGGATTTCATAATGATATTCATACCCAACGCGATGTGATGTAATTTTTTCCAAGAGCCTATACGATTAAGACATGCGGACCGAAGCAACAACATCGAGTGTTATTTATTACAATATTACATTATTATGTGCTTCATTAATACAAACTGATAACAACATTATCATCATAGTCCTTATGCCCACCACCAAGGGTTAGAATAAATGCAATATTCCACTAGCACACCGCAGTGATATTTTGCTTTTAAAGGGAGATCCGACAGCAGTGTTGGGCGTAATTGATTACTACGCTATTTTGGACATCTCGTCCGTTAAAAATATACAACAATAATATAAATTGGGTACTTTTTTTGTAATACATTTTTTTGACAGAAAATCAAATATTACATAGTCTGTGTATTATCATATTAATAACAGACATATTATTATTTCCATATATATGTATTTATTATCAAAACGTCAAACAAATAGTATACATTTGAATTTCCTCGGAAAATCTTTTATAAAATATTTATGTTTTATTGTAAAATCAATATTTTTAGCTTTTATAAGTGACCACCCGATTAGGTTATAAAATTGATTGTAGATAGGCACAACGTGTATTAAAAAGTTAATAAATACAAAATTATATCTTTTACAAACATTATTTTTTATTACAAAATATTTTTATTGGCGGCAAATAAGAAAAACAAATTTAAACGGGTACAGCCCTACAGGATTTGGGTTTCATTAAATATTTATGTAACCATACTTTTTATGTACCGTAAGTACTTAAACGACTACGTTGGCGGTTTTTCATTCATCGTTTTGATTTAGGTAAACAATCGTTTCTCCGTGATATTAATACTATAATATCACATTAGTATTATAGCAGCATTAGGTGGGCAGGCACGATTACATAATATATATATATATATATATATATTTTAATATCGCGTGTTTAGAATGGTTTTGTCGAGGTAATTGTATGGAATTAAACGTTGAAATACACCACCAAACGGAAATAGTTTTGTAAATTGTTTCACTACGAGGAGGATACACTGCAGTAGGTAGGTATATATTATTCTATGGAATAGGATAAATATTGTTTTTCGATAAATTTCTTCGGGTACCGTCCAAAGAGACGCGGTTAGACGAAGAAACGGACTAACGAGAATTTATATTGCAGAATCGAGAAAGTAGAGAATGACCGGATTTAATTTGATGTCAAACCGGTATAAAAATAACATCCGACACACA